CAATAGAGATGGCCCCCCCCTCCTGGGTCGATCTCTTACGGGGGGAGGGGACTGTTACGGGCCCTCAATAACTGGGCCATGCGCAGATTGCGGCAACCCTGCCAAGAATTGGCGAACCTATTAGTAATTAGATAAATAATTGGGTGTCTTCCCCTTTTGCTTTAGCTTTTCCAGTTTGACACGCTGACAGATATAGTATTAAGTCAAGAGAGAATGATCATTCTCTCTCTTGATTAAATAAAAAAAGAAAAAACAACAACAACAAAATCAAGGAAACCTAACATAAGATAAGCTTTGAAATCTATGACACTAATAATACGGTCAGACTTCCAAACTTTTGGTGCGCCTTTTTTGAAAGTTTCAGCCATTCCTTCCTACCTCCAAGTCCTGAAAGCACGTACGTTTTGGGTAATATATATGTAACTTTTCAATAGCAAAACCAGAAGATCATGTTCGGTTAATTATGTGATAATTAGCGCATTTTAAGGACTAAAACGTTCATACAAATGAAAATCGTGAAAGGGATTCCTAATATCCATAGAATTTTAAGAGACAGAGAAAATGCCGCAATATCTAAAGTATTTAAATGGCACTGCAGGCCCTCATAGCAAAGATGATTAAAATGTTTGATATTGAAACGTAAGTAGTATAAAAACATCGTTAACAAGAACGACAACAGTGTTATCGACGTATCCTCGTCAGTTGTACAGTATCTATGACATGTGATATTTTTGTTTAATGTGGGATCTTTGAGTGAAAATGAGAAGCAAGTCTGCCCTTGAAAAGAAAACTACGTTTTGAGGGCGCTTACTGAAGGGATGCTGATGCCGGGGGGGTACTCCTGGGATTTCTTGGGGGGGGGGGTGTACAGCCCGGTTCTCGAAATCCTGACCCTATTTCAGATCTAAAAGTGTCATTTTCCACACCCGTTTTCAGACCTGGCCTCTAAAATCCATATCCTTTTTCAGATCTGGGGGTGGTCTCAAAACGTTACATTACATGTTTACATAAAACAGAGAATGTGTCATCATTGTATCAAAAAGATTTCTTAAAATCTATTTCGAATTCGCATATTACACTTTCTTTCTTGATCATTTGGAGTTGAAACGACGAACATTTTGATACACGATCGTACTTCCCTTGTAAACCATACCCGATGCCAGACCAAAATGGGCAAAATCTATACCTGTTCTCAGACCAAAACGGCGCAAAAACCCTACCCTTTGGGGCGACACATACGTACATGGCTTATATATGGGAGAGCCCCCCCGGGTAGTAATGGAGGCTTCGTCGTCCTCTTTCACTTGTCTTAAAAAACTCAGTTTTGGTGGGCAAAGATTTAACCAAGATTTCTTGAAATTCCCAAATTGTTACGGAGTGTTAGACCGACTGATCCGGCTCAAGCAACTACGACTCGATAAGATGAGTCACCTGGCCCGAAAAGTCTTGAAAAATGCCTCAAGATACTCTTCGAAGCTTTCCCGTCTCTCCAATCAAGTTTAAGCAACACAGCTTTGGATAGGGAGAGAAGAGGACACGGATCGAGCGCTAGCCCTATTCGCTAGCTAGCGGCTCATCAAAAGACAGCGTGACCTCCATCTCTCTACGGCGGCCAAACTACCAACGCAATATGAAACCAAATCTCCCTATTCCACTCCTCCACCGACGCAACACCAAAGTTTCCTTTAGAAATTAAACCCCGGCTTCATTCAAGTTTCAGGAACTTGCGTCAGTATTAGCAAGGATATGGTGCTGACCCTTGTGGTGACCTATCTCTACGCTTTTTTTTTTTGATAACACAAACCTAGGTGATTTTCCCGTATCCTGTGTGTTCTCTTATTCGAACATTCCGTATATAAGTTTGAAATGATCTTTCGGACAAATTAGCAAGAATGAACTGACCTTTTGTGAGACCACCTTGTTTTATAAATTGCGAAGGTATTCAAATAACAAAGAATGTCAAGGTTAATTTGCTTCAACTGCTCCGATGACGTGTTATAAGACATCACCTTAGTTATTTTAAAACTACAAACAAATTCAATTGTTGCGGGTCCTTTCTCAATCTCCCTGATCCGCATAGGTGTATGAAATAAATGAGTCTCAGCTACTTAACGTGGGCAGTACTTGACTGTGCGATAAGGGACCGGTCATTATTCATCGCCTGGGGGGGGTCGGAGGATTTTGGGCTAAACACGATGAAATTTAGCCGATCCCCCCTTTAAATGTTATTTTATTGAAGTGATCCCCCCTCATAACTATATATAACTTTCGTGATCCCCCCCCCCCCTGTCTTTGTACCCATATTCACCTTTCGACGTGTATATTTAGTGTTTTAAACGTTCATATACAGGTAGTATTTCTAACTATGATGTACTTACAGCATAATAAAGCCGTTATCGCGCAGTCTTTTTTTAAAAGTGTCTCTTGATCCGTGTCTTTTTCTAGTCTGGATCCAGACATCTGAATTCAGTTGACATACAAGCAATCTTGCTTAAAACTGCAAAGTGCTTGAAACTGCAATCAGTGCTTGAAACTGCAAAGTTACTTTTTTTAGAGTGCCAAATAGCAGTCCGCCAAGTCCCTATCAGCAGGTCATATTTAGCGACAATTCGGCCATCTGGAAGGGCTAGGATCGGCCACTGTTCCTGTCTCCTTTTTTATTTTCATCTATAGTGTAATAGATCAGCCTTTGTAGCTTTGCTCACATTTTTATAATTTTTTTTTGTTCGTTTTTTTCTTTGTTTTCTTTTTGTTTTCCTTTTTTTTTTTTCATCCAGTGTTTGCTTGTACAGTAACTTCAGCTATTTGGTCATCTGGTACAAAAGTTAAAACTGGCTTACGAACAGTTGACTGTTCATCAAGATCAGCAATGACAAGATCATCTTCGCTATCCTCGTCATCATCTAACTCCGTATCTGATTCTTCACTCTCTTCCTCACTGCTGGACAACCCATTCCCGTTGCCTGGACTTCTCTGTCGATAGTAATGGTAGCGAATTGCCTTTATCTTGTCCAGCTTTATACCAACAGTGGTCAGGCCATGTTCCTTAAGGTACCGGGTCGAGCTGTCTCACCTTCAGCTTTTCAACTTTGCCATTCTCAATAAGTATGCCCCACTGGTAGTCCTTGTATGTCAGTTCCTCTTCTAACCTTTTTTTCTCCTTAGCCTCTCTTGTTCCAATATCCTTCCTGATGTTGATATCATTTAGATGGCCTAGGTATTCAATGACATGCTTTTCCTCGACACTATAGGTTGCACAGAAAGCAGCGATGGTATTTGGATTGCCCGCAGAGATGGCGTTTTGTTCGTACAAGTCCTTCAGACATTTCCTCGGTTGATAATCGTCTGGAGCACGACCTGTTGTCGGCGTTTCGTACACATCCATAAAGTGCCCGGGATTTTGCTTGTCTGGCACAGGCTGAGGGATTCTTTCTGTTACTGGTCCCACCCATCTGTTGTTGGTACACCAGGAACAGAGTGTGGAGTTTGCATCGCTTTGCTTATTGCAGGCATCCCGACAAAATTCAAAAAAGAGCTCTCCTCGGACGTAGTGGTCCTCAATAAAACTCTCTATTTTACTAAGATATGCTGCACCGGGTATTTCGGCCTTACTGTTTTCTGAAGCATTTCGGTACGTATTTAACTCAAAAAAAAACAAACAAACACGCTTTTTACAATGTTTCAGTTATCAGAAGTTTATATAGTTCACAAATTAGAATTCACCTGTCATGTTTAAAGATGAATATTAGCTAAGTCATGAGCACGTTATAAAAGGAAAAATATAAAAGCGTTAAAACAAAGCTTTCTCGATATAAATTGAAATGCACACATTCGCCAGTGTGACAGACTTCCGTTTTTTAAATAAATTTGTGTTAGAACAAATTGAGATTGCAAATGCTATCATCTCCCAGCAGAATGGGCACATTTATGTTGTATGCTTTCAAACTGGCATTGTTCAAGCAGATTTGAGTGGTCCCCCCTCTGAATCCTTCAAAAATTTTCAGTGATCCCTCCCTTTTGGGCTCTCAGTTACGACTGATCCCCCCCTCTGTTCACCTAAAAATCAAGTGATCCCCCCCAAAATCCTCCGACCCCCCCCAGGTGATAAATAATGACCGGTCCCTAAACTTGTACCCCATCCAGGCTATGTGGAAAGAAGTGATAGTTTGACGTGCGAAATATATTCTACGCGTACGTAATCGGCAGAAGTAGAGAGAAGACCAATGGTTGCGGACCAGCCTGGGTGGTTTGCATTAGAGAGGAAATCTGGTTAAAAATTCTGAAAATTCCACGTAGCGAATGAAACTCCCATGGAATGCACTTCCCGGTTGCCGCAAATCGTTTAACGCGGTCACATCAGTAGTTTAAAATGTCAGCTTTCTTGTCCACGCACCCAATGGGCGTGTTGCTAAAGAGGCAGCGTGAAATAATTCCCCTGGGACAAAAGGGCAGCTACATAGTTCAAGCGAAAATCCTGGTAGCCGTTCGAGGTCTCCAGGTCTCAAATGAATGAAATGATTCCAGCCGCAACTTTAGGAAATTTTAGCTGAACGCATAGCGCTCTGTGCTTGAGTAAATGAATTTAAGTGGGCCTGATTCAAACTCTTACGAAGTAGAAAAAAATCCTGGCGTTTCAAAAAAGAGGCCAGATGACCAGGTTAGCGCAAAAAAGGTCCAAAAAATTCTTTTCCCTTTAAAATAAAAATTTAAAAAGTAAAAAAAAAAAAAAAAAAAAAAAAGAGAAGAAACATTATTTCTGCAAGTTGTATTGTTTTTTAGTAGGGTAGGGCGAGGTTAGTTTTGTCACGGAACACGCATGCCCAGTAAGAGTGTTATAAAAGGATCAAACTCAGCCGGGGCGTCGCTAATGGAGGTACATGTACTAAAATATTTCATATAAACTCTCTAAGAAGCCTCACAAAAAGCTTTTAAGGTGGATTTCTAAAGCGGCACCTTCCTTGCCTCTCGATCTGGTAAACAGGGCGATCGAAAGAAGGCGGCGATTGCTCAATCTACTTGAGAATGAAACAGCAGTGAAGTGTTTTTAACTATGGCTGACCGAGCTTGCAGAAACTTCAAACCAAATGTCTTCAATAGTAGCAAGTGTCAAAACTGCTTCAAGCTCCGCGAAGCACACAGTTCTTCCGTTACTGGCCCAGACGTGCCTCATCAAATCGTTTCCCGAAAACAGTCTGCTCAAAAGGTACGAAAACAGTATTAGCAATCGTCTACATATTTTCGATGCGATCGCACAAATTTTAATCGGCTTGTACGCGCGAGACCCGTTTATATTCTACCGTATATTGTCATTTTACAATTCACTGATTTTGAATCTTGTCTTCGAATTCTAAGTGAACAGGTTCTATTTTTTTGTTTTATATAAGGTTTATCCAAGGATCAGAACTGTAGTAAAATCGGGAGTGCTTTGTATCACAAACCAAGACTCCCTCGAGAAAGGACGAGTTACTCCAACGGTGAGTGACACGATATATTCCTTGCACCGTTTGGGAATTTGTTGATATTTATTATTGTTGATGAGGAATGTATATTTGTAACGCACCTGTTTTGTCTTGTTTTATTTATTCTCCAGCGATGGAGTAAACGTTGGTTTGTGCTAAATTCCACCGGAACACTCGATTATTTTTATCACGACGAAGAGAAGGTAGGAAATTTATTTTCACGTTGCTGAAATTAACAACGCTAGGTAAATACACTCCATCCGAAACTTTCACTCGAGACGAGCTGAGCTGTATTTCTAGTCAATATAACTTTTCATTTCAAAAGGGCATGACTAAATTTTTTTTCTTCATTCTTTTTAATATCTTACTGAGACTTTTGTTTATGTTCACCTTTGAAATCAGCGCTGAAAAATATTTTGTTTAGAAGTTCATGTTTCTTGCATACAAATTGTATAGGCGCCCGACTTCACTCACTGCGGGCAAATATTTGCTCTTCACTGGAAAGAACTTATTTTGACATGTGAGATTTTAATTTTGTAATAGAGTGGTTTTTTGAATAATCTTTTGATGCTTAAGTTGATGTATAATTCTTTCGTTGGTGCATGCTAGAGAGACAGTGTAACTGTGCAAGCGCAAGCATGCACAATATTCTCTCGGTTTTCAAAGTTTGTAATGGAAGGAAGGGCTTGTAAACATGGATCAGACGAACTGTTTAAAATTTCTTCACTCGGTTTCGGTGTTGGTTAAATTACTCGCGGTGAAAACTGTTTGATGTTTTTGCATACATGCACTTATGATTGATCCGAAGTAGTTATTGTTTCTGCCCTCGGGATAGAAAAATTTCTTTGCGGTCTAATTATGACCCTTGGTATGCACAAGTTTAGATTCCTAACCAGTCTGTTAGAAGTGTCGTTATTTCAATCGTGGGCTTGAGAGTTTGTTTGATTTAGTTCCAACTGAAGGTAAACGAATACTCTGCAGTTGCAATCTGCAGTACGTTATTGTGTATATTTTCCCAGTACAAATGAACTAACCCTCAAAGTGGTGTAATTAATAAATTTTGCATCAAAATTCTCTTCCATAAATGATTTCATGTTTTCAGAAACCTAGAACAGTCAACACTTACATGCAGAACATATGTTCCTTGTTATTAACACTGAATGCACTTTGATTTTGAGGATAATCATTTTGATGACATTCGTCTCACTAAATCTATATGTTTTCATTTTATGAACAATTAACCTTTATAAAATGAGATTAATTTCTTGTTGTGGTAGTTGTCAGTGTAACAGGATTATTTATGAAAAACAGAAATCCTTTTTTAATCCCCATTAATCCTGCAACTACTAAAAAGGTGATTCATCCATCTCAAATTTCCATGTCAGAGAGCAGAATCACTTGTCAACAATTTTGTGTTAGGTTCACATTTGAAATCTACAGAAATGATTCCTCTTATATTTTACCTCAAATTTCATTTCGACTTTGAGATTACTGGAGCAATTTACATGCACATGTATGGGATCCAAGTTTAAGTGCTATTTAATATTAGAATTTTTCTAGGAAAGACTTTTACCAAATCGTAAATATTCAACCTGAATTTTTTTTTCTGTCATTGTGAGTCTGTGGAAATGACACCATTGTCTGGTCCCTTTCGTTGACACTTTACATTGTTTGTAAGAATATATGTTACAAAAAAAGATGTACGTTGTAGCATTTACTTCATCTTTTGATTTTGTGTGGTCTTGGGGTATGAAAGCATTGGCAGTATGAAAACAGTTCTAATGGGGTATCTCACTAGAATTTTTTTGTTGGGGATAATACACTGAAGAATGAAGAATGAGTAAATTCAGTTAAGTTACCATGGCATTTTATTTTCTCTGTTTACAGTTAACTTAGGGAGAAGGCAGTCCAGGCTTTGAACATTTCAGCCCTGGCTTAATTATCCTTTAAGCCCAATAGAGTGATCAGCATCAAATTTCTCCTAACAACATCACTGTCAAATCAAATGTACAAGTAAAGAGAATGAATGAAATGATCAGCACTGATTAAATTTCTTGATATTTGAACAAATTCTCTCAAACAGTACATTAAGAAATATATGGAGAACAGTGAAGAGAATATAATGTTGATATCAGGGCTTAAAGGGTTTAACTTAAGAGGAGTATGGCTTAAAGTCTTCATTTTAAGACCTACAGTAACCTGTATTTTAGGCAAATTGGTGTGCTAAACTATTGGCCTTCAGATCAGAGGTAAAAAAACTTATATGTACAACTAATATGATTAAAAGAAAAGTGGCAATTTTCAGTGATACCTTTGGGGTGGCCATATGTGGTCTCTTGGCTTTGGTTTGCTACAAATCTGCCTACACGAGCGTCCTCGTGTTAAATCCTGTCAACCAATTAACAGAAAAGTATTGTAAACATGTATCTCACAATAAGGAATTTTATGAATGAAGGCTGCCTTTGCCACTAGGTTCAATTTAGTAACCCACGTCACAGAAGTCGCGAAATTTCCCTGCTGGTTGAGAAAGTCTAGAACTATGACAGAAGCCCACAAAATAAAATTGTTAGCCTGCAGCACTTCAAAAGGTACATGTACCAGTCAGCATAATTTAAATAAAGTACTCAGAGACAGTAGTTGTGTATACTTTTTGTTTTTCTGAATTGACTTCATTTTCTGGTTGAGGATCGGCTCGGATCATAACTTGCATGTTTTTTTAAAATAACTTACCATGAATGATCTAAAAGATTAGACACTGGGGGTCCTAGTGGAGGTGTTTATGGTGGATGAGAGGTGTTTATTCTCATAACTGTAACAAGCTCAACAATAATGTTTTTGGCGAAAATATCAAGAGAGTTTAAAAAGCGGAATATGCACTTCACTAAATGATGTGTCTAGACCATCTAGAGATTGATATCACTCTTTCAAATTCCAGCATCGATATCAGAATCCTCGCTCAGGGTTATTGTGTTGTCATCGTTAGTCTATCCTAATAAAACAATAATAATAATAACATATTTAACTAGGGTAAACCCATCAGCTGAAGCCGTTATAAATGGGTGCCCTGGGCAACTTAATATCATATCCTTGCTTGGAACTTGACATTGAACGAGATGAAATACGTAAAGCCTTGTTAATCAAGCAAGAAACTGAATAAATTGAATGACTTTGCTCCTTTTTGCTAATTCCTAGTATTTTAGAGTAATAAATTTATTCTCGTAGGGGGTGTCTATTAGACAAGGTCAGTTATTAGAGAGGGGTGTCTAACAAAACAGCGTAGAGGGGGCGTTTATTAGTTTTTTTTGCCGTTCTTGTTGCTGTTGCTGTCCTCGTTGCTTAAGCTCGCTATTGTTGTGATCCCAAAATTTTGTTGCCATGGTAACGTGATGTCACACGTCTTTTCTTGATTAACCTCCCATAGTAGTGGTCACCTAAGTATTCCTTATACTGTTCTTGGATTATTGAGGATTGTTGTTGTAAGCTGTTAGCTCCATTTAGAGAGAATTATGTGTCTGCTTACTTAGTTTACTGTTGAGAACTTCAGCTGTATTCTGCTACAGTATTTACACTGCCTTTTATTTTCACAGAATTGCTCAACAGAGTGTCTAGATGGCACAGTCAATCTTGACCTTTGCAGTGGCATGTTTGTTGGTGAGGGCGACACAGGGGAACCATTCTCAATTGGTTTGAAGCTTGGTAAAAAGACCTATTACCTGAAGGCGGAGAACAGGCTTGAATTGGATAACTGGTCACGGGTGCTGAAGCCATTTGTTCAAGCTTCCCCTGCATATATTCCACGTCGTAACTCTAGCACTAGCAGTGCCAGCTCAACTGAATCAGATGTGTTTACCTCAAGTGAGCAAATTTTATATTTTTCTTTTCCCTTGAGTGTGATGTTAAACAGGGCAATTCCTTTCTTTAACTATTATTTTGTAACACAAAGAATACAAATATATGCAATTTTTAAGTAAAAGTCTAAGTACATGTGAGCTAACTTTTTTTTAGCTAGTTAATAGGGACACCACTTAAATAATATCATACTGAAAAATATGGAATAATGCAGATGTGAAGTACTATGGAATATCTTTATCTTTGTCAGGTTCTTCATCTAGTGTTGGGCGTGTCCCTAGTTTTGGGAAGTCTACTGTTTCCCGAGTGGCCTCAACCCCTCTCAGCAGCATGCCTGCAAGTACCAGAGCATCCATGAACACGGAGGAAAAACAAACATCAGTGAGTACTTTCTTGCCCTTTTAGATCGATTAATAAATACATTGTGAAAGGTTTGAACCCAGGAGTCTTTTCATAAGTACGTTGAGTATGATCGTCCAAGTGCACATAGTCCTGAGCACAATGTAGGACTGTTGTTGATGACAGAGACTGACGTTTTGACAACCTGTGTGGTAGTCATCCTCAGAGTCAAAGTGAGTTGTATCGTATTAGTTGATGTTATTAAACTCTGGTTATTGACCTGAATGGTGAATTAAGTCCTGATGTTATTGGTTGTCTGTCAGTGAAGCTGTGATGTTATTGGCTATGAGACTGATAATGTCATTGGTGCGTTTCGATCCGTCGAACGGTCATACTCAGCAAATATTAAGATTTGGGGTTATTTTAGTCTAAAACATTGGACATAAAGTTTAGCCGTGTCCATGTCACATATAAACATATAAAGACACTAATTAACGATTAATTCTTTTCTTTTTTCTTTATGAATTTTTAATGAGTTTCTAAAGCTCTTGTAAGCGACCACCCACTATTTCTTTTACAATGCTCTTACTTATGAGAACGCTTTCTTGTCAGCGACCAGCTCTAGTTACGACCAATTTTTCGAATTTCCGAGGAGGTCGCTTACGAGAGCTTCGACTGTATTACTGATACCGGGTGAAGAAAAGAAATATGACTTTTGCGTTTCCTTGTTTGCTTTGGAATATTAAACAGCAATGAAATGTGAGATAATTTACAGGTTGCTGTGTATTATTAATTCAGTTTTGGCCAGCTATCCCCTTAGTATCAATTAGATATGTGCCTACATGTATCTCTGTTATAGGATAACCAACCCCCACCGTTTATAAAAGTTGATTTCGTCTCTTTGAAATCTTATTTTTAGCTGCAACTGGAGAAACTTAAAGATGAAAACAAACGCTTAAGGGAACAGAGTGTGTTATCTGCGAGGCAAAAGGACTCAACACACATGCTTGAGCAGGAGCTGAAAGCTAAAGAAGACAGAATTAAAGAACTTGAAAAAGAAAACGCACAGTGTAAGGATTATCAGAAGGCAGTTATGTTTCAGGAAAAAGAACTGCAAGAGTCTAGAACTAAACTCAAAGATCTGAAACAACAGTTGGAAGAAAGAGATAAACTCCTTCAGCAGCATAAAGGAAAAATTTCTATCCATGCTAAAGAGCTTGCTGAAGCTAAAGCTGATTTACAGGAAGCAAACAGCATTATTGGAATTCATAGAGCTAATATTGAATCACTGAAAAGCGAACTTTCTTCCATGAAAGGAAGCGGAAAAGAAAAGCTTATTTTAGCTGGCGAGGAACCAGAGAGTGATCAAGTTTTTAGCTTGAGGGCTGAAGCAAATGGACATGGAGGAAAAAGTGACCAGCCAAATCTAGAATCGAAACTTTCTATTCTTATGCAGAAGCTTAAACAAAACGAGCGGGAATTGTTAGTGAAGTCGAAAGAGCTTGAGAAAGCGAACGAAAGTCGTTCGAAAGTCGCAAAGTACACGAGATCTCTTTTGCAAGAGCTCGAGTCAAAACTAAGCAACAATGAAAGAAAGCTCGCCGAAGTAGAAAATCAACTTGTGAATAAAAATCTCGAACTTGAATATGAACAGAAACGAAGGTTGAAAGTTGAAGAGGAGAATAACCGATTATGTACAGAACTGGAATCGCTTTCGGATGAACGCAAGAAAGATGGACTTTCAAAAGAAGTTGTCGAGCTGTTGAACACAGCGAAAGAACGGGTGGCCTCGGAAACTATTACAGCTACAAGTACATCCTCCGTGGAAAAGCTCCCTGAGCCGAAATTTGAAAAGCTCCAGAAAACGTCAAGCGATAGCGCATCGCTTGTTGAGGAACTCGGTCGGTTGAAATCTTCTCTTGAATTGGCGGAAAATGCGTCGAAAAAGAATGAGGCCAAACGTAAAGAAAATGAATCGGTTTTAAAGTTGGCTAACAGAGAAAATGAGCGGCTGAAGGACTCTTTGAAAGATAAAAAACAAGAAATAGAAAGCTTGAAAAGCCAGCGACATGCAATTGAGGGTGATTTGAAAAGAAAAGGAAATGAAATCGAGACTTTGCAGAAGGAACTGAGGAAACTGGAAGACAGAAATGCCGATGTGTTGGAGAAGAATCGAGAATTGGAGGAGAGACTTCAAACGGTCGAAAGCGAGCTCACTGAAAGCATGGAACGGGAGATATTCCTTCAAACTGAGAACGAGACGGACGAGGGAGAGCGCTGGGATGTGAAAGAACGAATTGTTGGTTTAGAGGAGGAAATTTCAATTTACAAGGACAAAGTTCGTGAACTCGAAGCTAAGTTATCGGAGCTTGAAGAAGCAAATGACTTGCGTGTCGCGTCGGGTAAAAACCGTCTGCTTGAATTAGAGGAACTTTTGAAACGTAAAGATAACGAATTCTTCGAAAATGAAAGAACGTATGCAAAACGAGAACGGGAGTTGAGGAAAGAAGAAGAAGCTAAGCGAGATGCGATGGAAATCGAATTTAATCGGGATAAACTTCGTCTCGAAGAACTAGAGACAAAATTAAGAGATGCCCAAGACCTCTTTCAATCTGAGGCTAGAAAGATTAAGGAAAAAGATAATGAACTATATGAGCTTAAAAAGCAAGTTAAAGTAATGGTATTCAGAGAGGATGCGGAAAGACACATCGACGAACTTGAACTGGAATTGAAAGACAAAGAAAAGAACTTGTCTGAAACGGAAAAGTCACTGATACAGGCAAACGAAAAGATTTCTGAGTACGAACAAAAACTAAGGGATTATGAGTCAGTTGAGAAAGTGCCTGACTCGAAGCGTGCTGTTGATCTGGTAAATAAAATTCGAGTGTTAGAAAACGAACTCGAGGAAAGTAGAGAAAGACTAGCCACCGCTGAGGAGAAACTAATGGATTATGAAGTCGAGGAAAAACTCCTTAGTGCTGAGCTTCAAAAAAGCAAAAGAGACGACGAAGAAATCAACGTGGTTGAGTTAAAGAAAAAGCTAACGGATGCTGAAGAGCGTATCAAAAAGTACGAAGATTTTGCCAAGGATAAAAACTTGAAACTTATAGAGAGCGAAGAGAAAGTACTAGAATTAGCTGAAGAGTTAGCGAGAAGGTTGACTGTCGAACAAGAAACGGCTGAATGGATTGAAGGAGTGGAAAGCAATCTTTCTGTCAGAGAAGAAGAGCTCGTCAAAACTCGAGAAAATCTAATCCTTAAAGCCAAGCAACTTGACGAAGAGAAATGTGGTATTCTAGACGTGATGGAGCTTTCAATGAAGTACATCAAAGAGTTGGAATTAGCCATCAGTGAGGAAAAAGGGAATTCTAAGGAGCTGGAGAGACAACTTGACGACGAGAGAATGCGAGTGAGCCAGGTGGTGGAAGAAATGAAGGAAACTAAAGTCTTAGAGGGTCAAGATGTCGTCAACGAAAGCGTGAAAGTGGAAGAAATGGTAGAACGTTTAGCGTCCTGCGAAAAGAGACGGGAAATAGAGGCAACGCGGGTGAAACAACTACAAACAGAGCTGGAAGATTCGAAGAGGAAATTCGCAGAAGAACTGATCGTGGAAAGAAATTTGCACGGTGATGAACTGCGAAAGTTAAATGAAGAAACATTACAAGTGTCTGGAGCGGCTACTTCTGAGGACGACGAACTAAAATTGCGCCTGACGTCTCGAGTTATAACTTTGCAGTCTGACATCAGCGAACTTAAAGCTTCGCATCAGCAGGAGATGGAAAAAGTACGAGCGCAACATAAAAAGGAATTAGAGAACGCTCGCCGGGAAGCCATCTTGGAAAATAGCGTCAAGGAAGTAATTCCAGAAAGTGGGGTGGAAATGGACTCTAGAGTGAGTGAGCTTGAGACGGAGTTGAAAGAAATGACCGAAAGGTAAGCAGCCTCGCTTGCAAGGCGTAATTTTTTTTCCAGCATATGAAAGTACTCCCGAAGGGATATGAATAATTATCGTTTTAACGGTTACAAAACACAACGACTGATTTTAAACTCCAAAGTTACAGCACTTCTAGTAAACTGGAGTATGTATGGTCCAATTTTATCCCTGGTTCTTATTTTAGAGTTTCCTTTTTTTCAGATTCAAAATCATACTAAAAACGAAGGAAATACTCATTTAATCGAAGGATAAAATTGAAGTATATTCCAATTAGCTAGTTACACTTAGAACGATTACAGTCCCCCAATTGTCCCCAAGATCAATCGAGCAGTTATCAAAAGGGTAGCCATCTTCGCTAAAAATCCCGCTAGGGGGGCACTCCCTTACTTGGTCGAAAAGGGTACAGCTGTATGTGCCGCCGAGCAGGGTATGGTTTTCAGGGTACAGGGTGTACAATTTCACTATTTAATGTCTTAAACGGGGTATCTTTTTGGATCGGACGCCTTTAGAAATAGTGTGAAGGTTGGCGGTTTCCTTTTTGCTGCATTCTACTTCCAAACATTCTAATTCCATGAAATTGCGTTTAAAAAATACATAAGACCAGAATTCGTTTCGTTTTTTCTTTCATATTTAAATTTGGTAATCCCAGCAAGGTTTAGATAACAAAGGCCCTAATGTGCACAAGAAAACAATTGTTGGTTTTCACATGACGTCACCAAAATTCAAACTAAAAAACTATCGATCCTACCGAGATTTTACTTTCACGATGCATTAGAGTAGCTGAAAACTAATTTTCATACAAATTTTCGCTTCAAAATGGGTCTTGGTTTTGTGATAGAGTACGCCTGAATTTCTAAGCTTTTGCGTGACATGGTATTTACATGACGGCCAAGGGAGCTGTCATGTAGGATAAAAAAATGACTTATTTCAGGAGATTTTGCTATCTAAACAGTTCACGTATTAGAAAAAGTATTACTTTAATGTTTATGAGTTTCTCGAAGAATAAATTCACGCTTTTGTAGCCAAACACGGTAACAGATGTTTCTGTTGGTTTCCGTCCGCCATGTTGGAGCTCATCCAGGTGAGCACCAGCATGGCGTCTCCATACAAATCTCTATAAGTTTGAGTAAAACATTTATTCGGGCATCTCGTATACGAAATATTCCTCTGACCTGTATCTTGGCGAGGGTCTTTGCATATTTACCTCCTTTCATTTCCCAGATTCTGGACTTTATCTATTGAACGGTTTTGATTTTTATTTTGATCTATTTTGAATGGCGTGACACTGAAAACCAGCAATACCCGGAAGTGTTCTATTAGTAGTGGTAAAATGACTCCATCGTGCAAATGGCCTACATTTGTATTCTGTATGTGAAACGAAATAAATCAGGGTTAGGGTCTGTTTACAAGGAGAGACTGTGACCCTAGCAAGCGGGTTAAATTTAGCTCTGGTTTACAAGCAAATTTCACAGGTAGGGTTACCCTGTCACCGTGTCAACTTTACCAGCTTTGCTGACGTGTTTCGTCATGCGTGACATTTCTTTGTAACGTCCAAAATTTCCAAAAATACTTGAAGTTCTCTATGGAAAACACGTTGAATTCACTAGAAAACGGGAAAATATTATCACCGTATGTAGAAAATACCCTATATTGTTCAGATGTTTATAATTGAGCTCAGAAATTGGATAATTCCGTTCAAATTGTCAACACGCATGACAGAGGAAAGTTGTACCGGGTAGGCGAGTTATCCCTAGCAGAGCGTTTACAAGGCAGGTAGGGTAACCCTGGCACTCAGGCAAGGTTACCCTATGTACAGTGCTAGGGTAACCCTACCTGCCTTGTAAACACGTCGTGTAAAAAGAGAAGAAATGTGCGAGTGCTAGGGTAACCCTGGTCCTTGGGTAACCCTAGCACCAGGGTTACCCTCCCTCCTCGTAAACAGGGCCTTAAAGTAATGTTGCTTGTGCTAAACAGGGTTGCGTAATGAAAGTTTTTTGTCTTGAAAGGACTCGGCGGCACACTCCTACCCAAACTTTCCTTGAGTGCCCTCCTCCCCCCCCCCCCCCCCCCCCCCCCCCCGCCCGCAACAAAACACCAACAACAAAGAGGGGGGAAGATTTCTTTTTTTTTTTTTTTTTTTTTTTAAATCGAGAAACAAACACAACGCCCCCACACACCCCAAAACCACAGTCACCACGTTATCGTCCAACAAATAAAAAAACAATGAGAGTTTGTTTATCTACTAGACCTACGCCCCCGCCCAACACTCTCCTCTTTCCCTCCTCGCTATGATTCCTACCTGTTGTTTCTCTAATTAAATTTATGTCTGACGAAAATCCCCGCACCCCACCCCCTCCCAATCGTTTGTTTACTGCCCCGCCCCCCCCCCCCCCCCCCGAGCGAGCGCTCGATAGTAACAACCTATCGAAAAGGAGGGGACTTAATTCTTAGTTGTACTCTTATTATTCAGTTATTAACTTTGGAGTGGAAAACCGCTTCCGATTCAAAGAAGATCTAAGGTGTTTAGAGCGTCAAAAAAAGACTGACTGAATTCTAGCACAAGAAAAACGGCGAGAAGAAGTACACGTTTTTCCCTCTCTCCCTTGTCATTTTTGCTTGGCTCTCCACTTCGTCCTCCCCTTGTCCTACTATCTGAACTCCTTGGAATGCTATTCTAAACTCACCTTTAGCTTTAACTGGCGTTTCCTCGTTTCTTCAGTCTATCGGCCTCTTGAAGAGGTTGCAGTGACTTTCCGAGAGCGACGACCTTTCTAGTAAATCCTTCCTCGGGGTAGAAGAGACCAGAAACGCATAAGATGAGTTCTAATTGGAAGAGTAGGTGGGGTGTCGATGTCATCAGTCGATGTTATCAAGCTTTTTCCATTACGTCATCCCAGCGCAGACCCTACAAGTTTCCAGGGTGTTTTCTCCTCACAACTTACCCACAATGTTTGGGAACGCATATAGCATAATTAATTAGCCAAAAAATGGGTAACGGCTCTTACATCAGCCCTTTTACTGCCGTCGTTTGTACAAGGATCAAAAGTTCAACTAATTAAGTCGTCCTTGGTATTTGTTGACGTCGGTAAACATGCAAACTTACGGCCAGGTCAATCGAAGTTAGAATCGCATTGAAGAGCACAAGAGACTGTGCTACGCGGAGTGTTCATTTATGAAGAGCGTTTGAGGGCGTTATATGGATATCAGATCGTTGCGTTCCACTGTATACAAAGCAGGAATGAGGTACTTGAAAGCTTCTAGCTTTCATTAGGCATGAGATCTTCATGCTCCAACACAAACATCTGCTGTTGTGACGGATGCAAGGTTAGACTATACCAGAAAGACTTATCCTCTGTTCACGCTTCTGCCTTTTTTTCTGGTAGATATGAAAGTCAAATGGAACTGTTAAAGAAGAGTCATTCTCGAGAGATGGACAAACTTAAGCGGAGCAGTGGAGACGGCACAGATGGCCTGCAGACCGAGGTTGTTCAGCTTCAAGTCGAAATGGAGAACATGAGCCAAAAATACATGGAGGAGATCGAAAGTCTCAAGGTACGTGTTTTGTCAATTTTTTAACTGATCGACCTCCAACCTCTCAAGAATGGCCGATAACGAATCTGACCATCTTTCTCAAGTTTCCTTTCGAAAACAATGTCAAAGTGGTTAATATTGCCACGGCAAATTACTGTTCTACTCAACAGCTTTTTATTTGAATGGCCACACTGTGAGCTTTCTTCAACAGATTCGAGACTTTAAGGGCCTCGCTAAATGACTTGACTCTTTTTTTTTTTTGAGTAATCAAACTGCGGGGTCAACTTATTACGGCTAACGTCTCCATTGTTATCATAATGTCAAAAATCCAGATGTTTAAAGTGGCTCAGTAAGGCTATTTTTGGTTTTGTTGTCGTCGTTGTAACTGTACCGACTGTGCGCTTTTAACCCAACATGAACAGTAAGTCTTGCGAGATAACTTTTATCTATTTGAACAACAGCGTTTACACTCTTCTTCCGTGAGGTTGTTTGAGACTGGATGTACTTGTCTTGTTAACCTTTTGGTTTTTCGAACAATTTCCTGCTGCGTATAATAACACTTAATTAGTGTTGCTCAGTTCCTGTAGGATGAATGCGGCCATACATACATAGATAGGTAAACGGAAGATGGATATGAGGTAAACGGATCGTAGACGGGTGACGGTATCCACACCTGCACAATGGAAACCAGACAACCTTGTAAATAATTTACTGAAGACTTAATGAACACTTTAGCAAAAGCAAAACTCACCCCCCCCCTCCCCCGCCACTCCTTGGAATTTCTGTTATGCTTGCGTGATTCGCTTATCTCACAGCCCCCGTTAAAAATTGAGACTAAAGTGTTCACATTCTCTCTATTTTCTGAATCAATTGAACAGACACGCGACCATCAGAGCTCGCACGTTAGTCGTAAAAATAGGAGAAATTATGAGTGTGGAAAAATTGTGAACCGGTAAAAGCGAGACTGGAGCTGGCTAACATGGTTTTTTTTACTGTCACGCAATTCTTCTCTCATATAATCACGCACGTCTGGTTTCCGTATGATCTGAAATTCGACCAGAGACCGGTCTGTTTCACGTAGCACTGAGACATCTCCTCTCCTCAGCGATTGTTTGCTACTATAAATAGGAACGTTTGTGTGCGGTTTCTGAGATCGGGATCGTCTGCAATCTTCCGCGTCGACGCCGATTTTTTTTTCGGCTTTTTCCCCCACTGCGGAGCTTGGTCCCATGCTATCAATAGGGAGTTTAAGCAGTGACGTTTGTGAGCGACGTACGTCAACCGGAAGTAGACTTTTTGCACTCCAGGGCCGTGATATTAAACATATACTTGGGCAAATCGTTTCCATAAGAGTCAAGACACTTAGCAGTACAAATTTGGTAGCTTGAAGGCATATTAAATGGGAAAAGGCTCACTTCCGGTTGACGTGCAATGCTAAAAAACGTCGCTGCTTAAACTTCCTAATGTCTTACTAACCTCGTTTTCTCTATCCGTACCGTAAGTTCCGGATCCTCGTTTCTTTCTGTTGATTCTGCTCAGACGAATCAAAACTCTATTAATTCACCCTTTCCCTTGAGGGAAGTCATTAAGGTGGGGGGGGGGGGGGGGCCACCGGGGGAACCCACCCTTTCCTTCCCCCCCCCCGGGCAATTCCGGGTTTTTCCCCCCCTTTTGGCCCCCCCCCTTTATCTTTTTTTGTTTTTCAAATTTTAACCTTTTTTTTGATTTTCCCCTTTTTTTCCGCTTTCCGCTTTTTTAAACATAACATGAACCCTCCTTTTTTTCATGCTTCCTCTTTTAGATGTGTGTCCTTTTTCTTTTTTGTTTCTGTAATCAACGAAAACGAAAATTTTATAGATGTCAGCGCTGGGTCGGGGGAGGAATGTGAGTGGGGGGGGGGGGGGGGGGGCGACAGGGGGAATCCAAGCCTTCCTTCTCCCGCACCGTGCAATTCCGGCTTTTGCTCCTCCTTTTGGCCTCCTCTCTTTAGCTATTTTTCGGTTGCAAATATTAAGCATTGTTGTGTAATTCCCCGTTTCTTCCGCTTTCCGCTCTTTTAGAACTAACATGAACACTCGCTTTTTCCTCTCCTTCTTCCCGTACCCCTCCCACCCTCTTTTCTCCCAGGCTCCCATGCCCTGTCCTCCCCCACTGTTAGGTGCTTAACCTTACTTTAACGGGAAATTGTGCTGTAAAAACCTGTGTGCGTCTCTCTCTCGTTGGCGACTGTGATGCGTTCCTTGTCTTCGTTTCTTTATTAACATAATTTCATTGCGTTCTTTTTCAGGTTCAACACGGAGAAGAACTGGAACAATTAAAGCGTGATATGGCTGTCGTTCTCCAGGCTTCCTTAGGAGCTGTTGCCTCCCCCGCCAAGGACGACTCTAATGTCCAGCAACTCAAACAGCGAATCAAAGAACTGGAGGATGAAACAGAGGAGCTAAGCAGAAAATACAACGAGGAGCTCAAGAGCGAACGGGTAAGAAGCACAACACGCGCTGAAACTAAATCACGTTCACTCGTATAGTTTACTCAGCGGTAATTAATCTAAGACAAAAACGACCACGAAAGCGAGATTTTTTCAATACTAAGTACTGCTCGCGCGTGAACCAGCGTCATTTTTGCGGGAAAATGTGGTAGCCGTCGTCATTCTACTACGGATTTTAGCGAGAATGTCGTAGTGGCGGGAACAGTGAACAGTCAGAAGTTTTATTATTTTGCGATCGGGAGAAGGCTTAACCTCCTTCAATAAAAATAACCGTGCTAACTTTTCTGGTGAAAAAAGTACTATGAAGCTTTCCTTTGTGTATCTGTTTTGAGAATACGCGGAAAATACTTCCAGTTAGATCTCGTCCTCTTCCTGCATTAAGCACAACGTTTTTGGGAAACAACAAACGACGGAAGTGACCACCTGATCAATTTTTCCCGCCATTTTTCTCCTTCAACGTGAGGAGGTTGGTTTTCGCGTTCATTAAAAGCTGAGTACAAACTGACTTTTTTCCTTTTTTAAATCTTTTTTACAGGAAAAACAGCAGAGGGATCTGGAGCAAACTCGAAACGACATGATGACGGTAATTCAAGCAATAAGATCAGAGAATTATCGTTTGGACTCTGAAGATGGGGTCGGTAGCCAAAAACCCAAAGAACTACAGAATGAGCTGACAAAAATGCGTGCCGATTACGAAGCCAGAATCGCCGAACTACAACAGAAGCACGAAGAAGTCTTGCGTGAAGCCAAGAAATTCAGGTCTTCTGTGCCTCACGCTACTTTGGAAGAGGAAGCCGAGGTATAGGCCTCCTTATAGATGTTACTTATTCCGAGAGATGACATTAGGTATCTTAAGCAGCAAAGTTTTTGAGCGACGCACGTCAAGCTTTTTTTCTCTTTTAATATGCCTTGACGCCGCAAATTTGTATGGCTAAGTGTCTTTACTCTTATAGAGACAATTTGCCTAAAAGTTTGTTCAAATCACGGCTCAAGTGTGCAAAAAGTCCACTCCCGTTGACATGCGTCGCTCAAAAACGTCGCTGCTTAGACTCCCTAATGAATAGAAATGTAACTCCATGAAATGGTGCTATATATTTTATAGTTTGAACATCACGCCACCCCTTTGTGAAATGTACTCTGGCTGGCTTAGGGTGTTTTCATTCTGCAATATTGCAGCGGTAATCTCATTTTACGTCTGCAGCATTTCGTGCAACATATCCCGTAGCCAGATAGCAAAGTCCACTAGCCCCGGGCTGTTGTATGAATTGAAGTTTAATGAAAACATATTTTGAGGTAGGGCAGTAATTAGAGAGGGGTTGCGTATTGGAAAGAGGGCGTTAAATTGAAGGCATTACCATAGTCCCTCATATTCCTCAGGGATAGTTGAGTGAGCGAAATAAGCGAGCCTGCGTGAAACTTTTTTTCTCTTTCCTCCGTCTGTCACCTTCCTCGCGGGTCGTGATTAACACGTGCGCTCGCGTATTTCGCTCGCTCTGCTATCGTATCGTATACTCGTAGTCTACAAGGAGGGGTGCAGCATGTAGCCTTTCCCTCTCCTATGTCACGAGCTAAATTTTGTTCCCGTTTGTCTGAACATTTAGAGGGACTCCCATCTTGGCAAGCGCATCCAGGATCTAGAAGCTGAGTTAGCAACCAGCAAAGAAGAGTTCCAACGTCAGCTGGAGCTGAAAGATAGCCAACATGAAGAGGAAGTGAATCTACTCAAGGCAGACATGCTGGTCGCCATCCAGGTGGCGCGGAGCGGTGCCATTGTCTCAAATGACTCGAGTCCGTCAGTCTCCCAGGAAGTGTCTAAAACTGTTACGCGTGCGGGAGTACAGCTGTCATTAGAGGTACGTTATACGTTGCCTTAGCCAGGTTTCAAGCAGTAAATTTAACACCGCAGTGGTTTTTGTCACACTTATAAATTTTATGATCATGGCTGAATTTTTAGATTGTAAAACATCGGTTTTTCTCAAAGTCACTGCACGCAAGGCGTGAAGCGTCGGGGATAAATTCTTGCGCGAACCGCACGAGCCGCAATTTCCCCAGTCTCATTCTCGAGTTCAAACTCGTCCCAGACGTACGATTAGTTAAAAAAGGGCTTTTTTGCGGTCTACTAAGTTTTGTGAGCATCAACAATTTAATATCTACATCTTTAAGAGGTCTTAGCTTTTACTGTGGACTGCGAGCAGTTCTCCCTCTTTCCTCAAAGCCACGCGCGGCGAGCGTCGCGTAAGAGACTGCTCGCAGTCTAGTTTTACTGGATGTTTCGTCAGCGGAGGTGTAACCCATGAACTTTCGGTAACTAGTTGGGGTACCCTACCTCCAAGGTAATAGAGACCTCTCGGGGCTAGGTCGGGGTTATAGTTCTAAGTACTAGAAATGTACGAAAGTTGTGATCTTCTTATCGCAGGAAGCGGTAGCCAGAATTGATGAACTTGAAACGGAAGTTGAAACTAGCAAAAAGCAATTCAAGAAAGAAAAGGCAGAATTGGAAAAAAGCTTGAAGAAATCTGAAGCGGCCACCATGTTTGGACTTAGAAGGACCGAGGATATGAGTATTAAGATTTATCAAATGCAGAAAGAGATGGAGTCCATTGATAGAAAGTATCAAAAAGAAATACAGATGTACAAAGACGCTTTTGAACGTGACAAAGAAGAAAAGTGTCAGATGGGCGACTGGGAAACTCTTGCTTCAGAGAACGACAGTCTGAGATTGGAAATCGAGGAACTGGATTTGAAAATTGAGGAGATGGAAAGCGCCCACAGTGCTGAGGTTAGCATGCTGAAGCAAAAGCTTGGCGATGAAAAAATACTAAACGTAGAGGATTTGAGATTAAAAATTAAGGGCTTGGAGGATGTGATTGAAGAGCAAAGATTGGAACATGAGAAAGAGTTAGAAGATGTAAAGCAGGAGAGAGATAACTCGCTTCAAGAGGTCAAGCGAAGACACGAAAAAGAACTTGAAGCGTTGAAGCAGGAGCAGCGAGTGTTGAACGGGGCGAGCGCAAAAGCGGCGCTTGTTAATTCATCAGATTTGCGGGAAAAAGAGAAGAAGATTAAAGATCTGGAATTTAAGGTCGAAGAACTAGAAACTCTTCTCGAAGTTAAGAGAAGAAGACATAAAGAAGAGATCAAAACTCTCCGTCAGAGATTGGATGATGAGCTTCAAAAACACAGCGAAGATGTGCGTTCGCACCGCACTAAGGTGCGAATGTTGGAGCGCCGAAAATCCGAACACTCCATCTCATTAGGATTTAACATGGAGGACGATTATAAGAAAATGTACGATGAGCAAAGGTCGGAAAATATCAAGTTGAAGTTCACAGTCGAAAAGCAAAAGAAAGAGTTGGATGAGTTGCGAACTCAATTAGCAGAAGCAGCCCAAGTTGCCGAAGCAGCTAAAACAGCTGCAGCTGTGGAAGAGAAGCCGGAGCCAGTGTTTGAAAGACGAACTCCGCGTGGTAAGCGAACTTCTAAATCTTTGCCTGCTTTTAAATAGTGAACATTTTAAGTTTTGGCCCTGAAATCTATCTATAGTAACATAAACCAGTCAGTTGTCCTCGATCGAAGTCTGGTTTACTTTTTAAAGGGGCTTTGTAACAAGCATGTTGCTGTTTTAGGTCACTTCTGTCCTGAAGTCAGTACTTAGTACCCTTACCCGTGAACAAAACGCTCCTGTAGAGTTGTAAAGAAGAACAAATTTCATCAGGGAACACAAACCGTAATATTTTTTGTGATTTTTTTCAAGTTTCAATCCATGTCCAACCTTGCTATCCGATGTAAAAGACTACAGGAAACAGTTTCAATGCCAAAATTTAGTCTGAAATAACGAAACTAAACCATAATCTTTGGAATTCAGTTAAGGCAAAAAGTTTTAGTTTTTTAAAAAGATAGTAGATAACCCCTTTAACTCACTGTCTTCTCACGTTTTCAGCGGATTCACGCCGTCCTGTGTCGGACTCCTTCGCTGCTGGCTTTTCCTACAGTCGGGGAACCTCTGCTCAGGACACTAATACCAAGGAAACTCTAAGAAAGACCTCGTCAGATGCTCCGGCTGTTACTGATCCTGTCTGGAAGAGACCTTCAGGTGGTTCTCTTCCAAGACAGACCTCCAGTGATGCTGGAAGAACGAAACCCTTTTTAAGGCAACTTTCCAAAGGGGTGAGTAAATTGGATAAGTTTTATTAGGGAGTCTAGGTAACAACTACAGCGACGGTAACGAAAACGTCACGGCCGAAAAAGTGTCTTCGCTCTCAAACTTCATCGCGCTTATTCCGCCTCGTTCAATTTGTCGAATGTAGGCGATTTTTTCTGGAGTTGAATTCTAAAGGACTGTATCAAAGTTCATAAAGTTATAGGCGCAACTCGGATCATTTCAAATTTGAAAGCAGCTGCTATTTAAACCTGAAAGTCACTATACTCATTCGTCAGTTATGCCTCACCGTGACTTTGCTATTTAACGTTTCATCCATGTACTCGAAAGTGAGAGACATTTGCTACAAAAACTAGTTTCATGGCCTCAGCTTTGGTGAAAAATATGCACAGTGAAGCTATCCGGGGTGTCTATTATTTGAGAATACGCGGAATAACTTAGTTAAATCTCGTACTCGTAGTTGTTCTCGTCCTAGAATCTAAAGGCCTCTTATGAGCCGAAACTACCTACGAATCTCCTGTAGCTCAAAATGGAACTTCTGAACTAGTAACTAGTAGGTCAGAGGTTCGCCTGTGTAGAGAACTCCGATTTCTTTTTATCCGAGTCCCTTGTGCCACTGACTGAAATACAGTTCATGTATGGAGGTTCTATTTGAGCTTGAAGGGGTCGTGAATATTTAATGTCTAACTGTTGGTTTTCATCTGTTTAATAGGTTGAAACGTCAGGCATGGGCTCTGTAGCTGCTCGGGTAGCCATGTATCAAACTGCGGGTAAGGTTCGAATCAGTTCAAGAATGGATGTGCTATTGTGCTAAGTACTTAAGAAAGTCATTACAAAAACCAGTTTGGTAACCTGTAAGATAAGATGCTATAAGGCCTTGTACAACAAAATAACAACGAAATTTAAAACAATAAAATTGCTATTTAGTGTTGTAAACCCTTAGACAGGATAATGTGATTTTGTCGCACCGCTTAACCAGGTCATAATCTTGCTTAGCATTCAACTGAATATTTTGAGCAACCGATTCTTGATCCGTAACATTATTCATTGGTATGTTCTCTGTCTTTCTTAATATTTCAAATTTTGAAAAAGAGTGGAGTCATCATCATGGTAATTATATTTATCGAAAATAGATTTCTAGATGTATGTCGAATTTCGTACTATTGTCCTTTCCGATTTCTCAATACCCGCCATGTTTTTTTTCCAACAGCTACCAAGTTCAAAGGCAAAGATGGACAGGGAAAATAGAACAAACAAAGCCATGATTAATATTTGCAGGTAAACACCCATATCATTGTTTCGTTTCTAAACGTTTTAACTTCGTCATGTCTGTGCAGTTTTGGGATTACCACTCTTGTAAGGGCTCGAAAATTTTTCTTAAGTATTGCCACACGTGCATGGTGTTGGCCAGCCTTATCCAACATTTTGGATGCAAAATGCTGGATACGTTGGAACACCTTGTTGAATGGTACAGCAAGTTCTTGGATCACTGATCAGATTTAAAGAAGTTAAGACTTTTGGACCCTTTTTGGCTCTTCGCCTTTTGTCCCCGAGATTTGGTTTGGTAACAAATAAAGAAGCCTTGACTTTTGTGTGCTCTGTCCTGTTGTGAAGCAAGCAGGAAGCGGCTAGAGTATGAAAGAAGTGTAGGTGGAAACACGAGACGTAGTCGGGTGCTTCTCCCTACTTCTTAAGTGCTTTACAACAGATCAGAGAACTGTCAAGGCTTCTATATTTGTTTTCTGATAAAGAATCCGTTACACTCCCCACGCATTACTTTCTAATTGTCAAAACAAACTATTGGAAGATAGCGTGACAGCTCTAGTTCTGTGTTTTATACTCTCGTAAAGCATGCTTTTTCAAACAATCAGAGTGCGCGTTATATCTGAACTTAATTATAACAAACAATAAAGTTACATCTTCGTTGCTAATATTGATGGTTTGGCTTTATAGTGGTTCGTCTGATGTTGATATTCTTTTCTTTTAATTTTCAGGCCAGAATGTTTGTCGTAATAAGAAGTATTTGCCTCAACGTTATATTATTGAAATCCTGAAGTTATGTACAGTTAAAGTAAAATGTTTGTAAAACGTTTTAAGGTACAGCCGTGTATGTAGTCCCCGACAGTCATGTAATAAAAATTAACGACTTGCGAGCGACGACAGAATGAATTTGTAAAAACCTCGGAGATATTTTCACTTAAGAGTGTTACACGCCGAAAACGTGAAAAACGTATTTTTCTATGGAACTTGGCTATTTTTGTAAAAGGTTTCTAGTGTATTAGATGGCAAGAGTCATTTTCGTTGTTTGGTTTCACCGGCGCTTTTTTTTAGTGAATAAAATACATTTACCAGTATTTCGTTGTGCCATGTCATTTATGCCTTTCCGCTCATACTTTTGTCTGCGGGGCAAGAAGTAAAAGTAAGGGAGCGGGGATAAAGACCAGTCCCCTCTCTTTCAGCCCTCTGTTTTAACCCTTGCGTTTTTCTCCCCACTTTTCCTCCCTTTCTACGCCTGCGACGTGGGTCATCTACGGTAGGATAGCTGTGGCGTAATTTTTGCCACCACCCTATTTCCACCCTTTGTCGTCGCGGGTACAGGAAACGAACGTGGTATATGAGAGAGATGTTCTTTTCATTCGGTGATGGGCGCCCGGAAGAAAAAATCTGAGTGCTTCTCACAGGAGTCAACCCTATGGCCTTCTGTTATTAGTCTAGATGCTCTACCACTGAGCTACAGGAAACTTGTAGGAGTTAAGATCACCAGTCTACTGTAGGTTTATGTAACAAACATTCTGTGCATACTGCCAGGACTGGAATTTCGATTTGTGTTTATGCGCAATGATAGAAATTTGATGGTGATCCGAATTTTAACCGTGGCGAATACATGAGGAAGATGTTTTTTAGTCAGTGAGTGACCCAGGCGGCTCAGAAGAAAAAAATCCGATTTCTCCCAACAGCCCCAATCATCAAACCTTACTATCCACATCAGTCAAATCCTAAATATTATGCATAGAGGAGATGGTTTTTCAGCAAAACGTCTTGGAAAAAGCCTATTTCATTTCCAAAATGTCTGGTCTGGCCATGGTTCGGCCGGCCAGTTCTGCCTTTTGGAAAGCGCCTTAAAATCAAGAGGCTGCTCGCGGTCTAGTTTCTGCAAAATCCTATAACTCACGGTGTGTAATTGGCTCTAGAGTGACAGATTTTACTGAGAATTCTCGAACTGCGCGAGAAGAAAACCTTTGATACCAAGGGTAGTGCTTGCTGGTCCGGAGACAACAAATTTTCTCCAAGATAGATTTCAACTACAGTAGTCGAAAGAAAAACCGAAAAAGCAGGGTGCGGGAACCGCGCGTGAGGGTGCGCGAAGAGTGCGGGAAATGTTGTATTCGCGCCGATTCGTGCCAAAACAAAACACTCCTGTTTTCCCAGGGCTCTCCCCTCTTGGGCGGAGCACTTAGTCCCCAGGGCTCTCCTCCCTCTCAGTCAATTCATTTCGGTGACATATCAGAGGCAAACGGGCGGGAAACATTTTCACATTTTCGCTTGGACTACGTGACCCGAAACGCTTTGGCCACGCGAAATAAATAAATAAGAAGGGCATGAAGGCTGCTGGCGATATCATTCATGAAAAGAGTGTGAATACTTGATCTTAACTTTGGAAGGCGTTTGCAGTCCCGACAGTTTAAAAAAGCAATATGTTTTTTTCCTGTAAAAAAAAAAACACGAACATTTGGAACACAGAGCAAGTCTATTTGTCCTTTCTTTGCTGACTAGGGATTACTAGTGGCTATAGTTCGATATAGGATATAGTTCTCTTCTACCTCACTTTATATCTAGCGGGATGTTTGAAAACGTTACTACCGAATAGAGTTCTTCCGTCAAACAGTTTTTTTCGGCCAAAAACTCTCCAAAGTAGCCATTATAAACCTAAGAGTGCAACCATTGCTTTTTTTCTCTTCTCCTCCTTTTGCCCTCCTAGCTCTTTCTTTTTCTCCTTTCCTTTTCCCTCGGTATTGTGATTCTCGAGGTTTTTGGCGCAAAAAACCTGCCTTTTGACCCTTTTTCACTCACATGACTGTAAATTTCGTTGGGTTCGCTTTCAAAAAATCGACTAATAACGACTCGAAGTAATCGGATGAAATTCAGGCTACCAATGTACATGTTGGACTGAATTAATGAGAGACCCCATGCCAACCTCTCGTTCCCGGAAAAGCCCTGGGGACGAGGTTGGCCCAATGTCTGTTATGACGATGACGAGAACAATAAAATGTGCTTCCGGGAAATGAAAAAGTTTCCGTAAGTTTGCAATCATGAGAGCTTCTCCCAGTCAAAACCTTTACGTTTTTTGGGTGATTTAGCTGTTGTCCTTTGTATGGTTGTCCGTAAAAGCGAGATACCCGCAATGGCATGGCCAGGCGAATGCTGACTATAACAGGGCAAGACTCGCCAGCCCACCAACTCAAGTTTTGGAATACACTCAAAGAAAGTGTATACTACTCGTAGCTAAGAGATCGATTTCTTTCCTTCTCTTTCCTTTATTTCACATAACTTAAAAGTCTTGAAACGCTGCTGATATATAAAGTTCGCTGTACTAGCGAAAGAAACTCCGTTCTATAATTCAAAAGCATTTTGCTGAACGGTCCACCCTTCATGCCTCAGGGGACTTTTATAGAACTTTGGTCGCGGTTTCAGTAGCAGAAACTGACCAATCAGATGCATTTCCCGAGCGGCACGGGAAATATAGGCATGTTTTCATCAAGCATTTGTTGGGCGCAATATAAACGCCTGATCATCTTTATAGTGAGAAAGTTGCTCTGTCTGTTCCAAAACTGTATAAATGCTAAAAAAGCAGCTTTTAGCACTCTTTCATTCGATTCCCTTGGCTAATAATTAAAAAATGCTATATTTGAAAACTGTAACTTTGAATAACAAGCAAAACAGGAAACTATTGCAGTCCGATCTCTGATCTTCTTCACGTCTTGTATCAGAGTTAGACTATTCTATCATGACTGTTAGCTTTTTTGAACGATTAAGGAATATCCAGTTCCGGTCTCTTCCGGAGCAGAAGACTTTGAAAAAGTTTTAAAGTCTGTTTTCTCATGTTTGCTGACCTTTTATGCAATTTTCAATTTTTCTTGGCGTCAATGAACTTCATCAAAAGATTTTGATTAAATCGTTGTTACAACGTTTCTAGCAGTTTTAACACAGTCTTCGTTGAGCACTGATTGTCTAGGGCCACAGTTCTTTGAAAAAGTGCGATGATCCTGATTAGCGGTTTAACAAAAGTTTAGTCTTTGAATGGCAGAATTTTAAGCGTTAATTGCATATGAATAAACATCAATAGTATATGTTTTTATTGTTGTACCGAACACAATGGCCAGTAAAACTTGTGAAAAATAATCCAACATGCGCATAATCACATCTTGGTAAACTTTGGTAATGCTACTTTGCATGTGCAACACGAGTATTTCTCGAGTTGGAATGAATTTTAATCGAGAAACTGTACAAAAGGAAGACGCCGATTTCGAGTTGATTAAACTGTTGTTTAGACAGTTAACTTACACTGGAAGGACCAAACTCATCTCAAACGATCGCTGTCATTTCTGGATTGGATCAAATGTCACCACCAGCTAAGATTCGCTTGTGCCTCTTCGAAGATACCAGGTTTGGCCTCAGTTCAACTTATATTTTTGGCCTATTAAGCCCTAGTTTACATTAATTGCTGGCAATAAACCCAAGTTAATCTAGTCGCCGAAACAACGTTACTGGTTTTCCGTAAGTTTAGTTGCCGCGGAAATTTTAAAAAGTTTGAATTCGCGCTCTTTCGCAATTTTAACTTTAATCGTGACGAGCGGGTACTAAACAGGCTATCGTAGTCTTCGCATATTCATTAGTTTTGTCAAACTGATAGTGGTGATCAACATCACTGAGCAATCAAATATTAGGAGTTTAAATGGTTCTTGTGCTAGCAATTCTTTAACACTATATAGTTTTCGTCAACTTTCTTCGCTTTTATCTACCGAGAAGTTTTGAAAGTTTGTATGTTTCTTTCCCGGTACTTTAAAAATTTATTCTGGGTCTAGCTTGTGGTAATTCACACAACTATAGGCCTTTTTCAAAAATACCATAATACTCTCGAAAGGCCTATTGTTTTGTCATCGATTTGTCAAGTTTTAATCAAGTCGGCATTTTTTTTTCTGAACGCGTCTAATTCAAGCGTTAGTCAAATCCGAGTGTTTTCTCAATGTATTGTGATAAGCGTCCAAATTGCTTTAAGGGGTCTTACTGATTATTTTTGCTGCAGAAAAGAATTATTCTTTTAGACTTTACATAAAGGATTTTCTGTCATACTGTTCTGTTCTCTGTGTGTTGTTCAATGTGTCGCCAGAAGTTACCTGTAAACATGCATGGTCCCTTTGTTAGGTTAGCTCGTTAAGTGTTGAACTGGAGTCGACAAGATAAACGCGAGTTGCGATTGTTACGGTCAAATAGGCCTATTTTGTTGATGTCTATGTAGTTAAAATTTTTTGCTTTGATTAAAGAAGTGTTCTCTTCGGTAGACTACACTAATGAAATAAACTTTAATCGTTGGACAGTTTTTTAATACTCTGACTCAGAGTTTTACATTTGATTAACCGCGACCTTATTAATTAATGTACGATTTAAACATAAATTATGCTTTTATGCCGTACAAACGGGTTGCCAACAAACAAACTGTTGGCAATTTTGGCGTAGAGTGCTTAGCTTGCACCGGGAGAGAATTACAATGCTTCCAGGGACGGTTAGGCTGACACAAGACAATAGTCGACAGAGGTACAAGACAGGTGTAAATAAAACTGAAGGTAACGAGAAACCAGGTAAACAAGAAAAGAAGGTTAATTCGGAGTGCAATTCTTAACATGTTAGTACCGTAATATTTACAACAACAAATAACGCTTTCCATTTTTTTAACAGGTTCTGCCTCACCATAAAGAAAAGAAGAACAATTTGCCTTCCAAAAAAGTGTTCAAAATAACAATAAAAGTACTGCCACGATCCTTCAAAAGGATATGCAGCCAACGCATTTGTGTGTCTGTCATTTATTCAGTATATACCAAACCTATGGTAAGTTAATTTTTTGCTAAACACAGTCGGTTAGTCGGGTCTTCATGCAATTTTCCACTGTTTTGAACAGGTTATTATTTAAACTAAATTTTAAGAACAGGTCGTTGAGGTGGAACAGAGGATCATTATTAGAAATAATAACCTACTGTTTCAATTCAGTGACCATAATAATAACCTGCTGGTCCTAAAACTATGGAAAAGTACGCGCTCGGTCATTATCCTTGAAAACGTCTCGAGGCTCAACTATTAAGTTATATTTCTTTTCATGTTGCATCTTTCTTTCCAATAATTTTGATGTGAGTTTTTGCGTCACTCTGACAATTCTGGTTTGGTATATACACCAAGACAACATGTTGTATTTAGTTTTAAATTAGGCAAATTCAGTCCTCACCCCCCAAAATATCACAATCTAAAAGAAGTTTACGCTTTTGAATTCAGTAAGAAGNCATAAATTATGCTTTTATGCCGTACAAACGGGTTGCCAACAAACAAACTGTTGGCAATTTTGGCGTAGAGTGCTTAGCTTGCACCGGGAGAGAATTACAATGCTTCCAGGGACGGTTAGGCTGACACAAGACAATAGTCGACAGAGGTACAAGACAGGTGTAAATAAAACTGAAGGTAACGAGAAACCAGGTAAACAAGAAAAGAAGGTTAATTCGGAGTGCAATTCTTAACATGTTAGTACCGTAATATTTACAACAACAAATAACGCTTTCCATTTTTTTAACAGGTTCTGCCTCACCATAAAGAAAAGAAGAACAATTTGCCTTCCAAAAAAGTGTTCAAAATAACAATAAAAGTACTGCCACGATCCTTCAAAAGGATATGCAGCCAACGCATTTGTGTGTCTGTCATTTATTCAGTATATACCAAACCTATGGTAAGTTAATTTTTTGCTAAACACAGTCGGTTAGTCGGGTCTTCATGCAATTTTCCACTGTTTTGAACAGGTTATTATTTAAACTAAATTTTAAGAACAGGTCGTTGAGGTGGAACAGAGGATCATTATTAGAAATAATAACCTACTGTTTCAATTCAGTGACCATAATAATAACCTGCTGGTCCTAAAACTATGGAAAAGTACGCGCTCGGTCATTATCCTTGAAAACGTCTCGAGGCTCAACTATTAAGTTATATTTCTTTTCATGTTGCATCTTTCTTTCCAATAATTTTGATGTGAGTTTTTGCGTCACTCTGACAATTCTGGTTTGGTATATACACCAAGACAACATGTTGTATTTAGTTTTAAATTAGGCAAATTCAGTCCTCACCCCCCAAAATATCACAATCTAAAAGAAGTTTACGCTTTTGAATTCAGTAAGAAGGTACAGTTTCGCAGACAAAAGGAAACCTTACCAAGAGCTAAATTCCTCAGCGTAAACCAACAACAAAATAGTAATCAAAAGACCGTCAAAGACAAAATATGCAAAAAACACAACAGAGCACTGAAGGCAAGTAAAAAAGGTAAGTATCAAGGTAAGTTTTTCTATATTGTTTTTATTATTCAGCCCTGGGGACTAAGTGCTCCGCCCAAGGGGGGAGAGCCCTGGGGACTAAGTGCTCCGCCCAAGGGGGGAGAGCCCTGGGGACTAAGTGCTCCGCCCAAGGGGGGAGAGCCCTGGGGACTAAGTGCTCCGCCCAAGGGGGGAGAGCCCTGGGGACTAAGTGCTCCGCCCAAGGGGGGAGAGCCCTGGGGACTAAGTGCTCCGCCCAAGGGGGGAGAGCCCTGGGGACTAAGTGCTCCGCCCAAGGGGGGAGAGCCCTGGGGACTAAGTGCTCCGCCCAAGGGGGGAGAGCCCTGGGGACTAAGTGCTCCGCCCAAGGGGGGAGAGCCCTGGGGACTAAGTGCTCCGCCCAAGGGGGGAGAGCCCTGGGGACTAAGTGCTCCGCCCAAGGGGGGAGAGCCCTGGGGACTAAGTGCTCCGCCCAAGGGGGGAGAGCCCTGGGGACTAAGTGCTCCGCCCAAGGGGGGAGAGCCCTGGGGACTAAGTGCTCCGCCCAAGGGGGGAGAGCCCTGGGGACTAAGTGCTCCGCCCAAGGGGGGAGAGCCCTGGGGACTAAGTGCTCCGCCCAAGGGGGGAGAGCCCTGGGGACTAAGTGCTCCGCCCAAGGGGGGAGAGCCCTGGGGACTAAGTGCTCCGCCCAAGGGGGGAGAGCCCTGGGGACTAAGTGCTCCGCCCAAGGGGGGAGAGCCCTGGGGACTAAGTGCTCCGCCCAAGGGGGGAGAGCCCTGGGGACTAAGTGCTCCGCCCAAGGGGGGAGAGCCCTGGGGACTAAGTGCTCCGCCCAAGGGGGGAGAGCCCTGGGGACTAAGTGCTCCGCCCAAGGGGGGAGAGCCCTGGGGACTAAGTGCTCCGCCCAAGGGGGGAGAGCCCTGGGGACTAAGTGCTCCGCCCAAGGGGGGAGAGCCCTGGGGACTAAGTGCTCCGCCCAAGGGGGGAGAGCCCTGGGGACTAAGTGCTCCGCCCAAGGGGGGAGAGCCCTGGGGACTAAGTGCTCCGCCCAAGGGGGGAGAGCCCTGGGGACTAAGTGCTCCGCCCAAGGGGGGAGAGCCCTGGGGACTAAGTGCTCCGCCCAAGGGGGGAGAGCCCTGGGGACTAAGTGCTCCGCCCAAGGGGGGAGAGCCCTGGGGACTAAGTGCTCCGCCCAAGGGGGGAGAGCCCTGGGGACTAAGTGCTCCGCCCAAGGGGGGAGAGCCCTGGGGACTAAGTGCTCCGCCCAAGGGGGGAGAGCCCTGGGGACTAAGTGCTCCGCCCAAGGGGGGAGAGCCCTGGGGACTAAGTGCTCCGCCCAAGGGGGGAGAGCCCTGGGGACTAAGTGCTCCGCCCAAGGGGGGAGAGCCCTGGGGACTAAGTGCTCCGCCCAAGGGGGGAGAGCCCTGGGGACTAAGTGCTCCGCCCAAGGGGGGAGAGCCCTGGGGACTAAGTGCTCCGCCCAAGGGGGGAGAGCCCTGGGGACTAAGTGCTCCGCCCAAGGGGGGAGAGCCCTGGGGACTAAGTGCTCCGCCCAAGGGGGGAGAGCCCTGGGGACTAAGTGCTCCGCCCAAGGGGGGAGAGCCCTGGGGACTAAGTGCTCCGCCCAAGGGGGGAGAGCCCTGGGGACTAAGTGCTCCGCCCAAGGGGGGAGAGCCCTGGGGACTAAGTGCTCCGCCCAAGGGGGGAGAGCCCTGGACTTTTCATCCATTGGCTGATAAAACAAATAATGAACACTCACCGAAACCACTTTTTAAGGTCATACGATAATCGCTATAGTGATGGGTAGTGATGGATACTGATGGGTAGTGATGTGTAATGATGGGTAGTGATGTGTAGTGATGGATAGTGATGGGTAGTGATGTGTAATGATGGGTGGTGATGGGTAGTGATGGGTAGTGATGTGTAGTGATGTGTAGTGATGGGTAGTGATGTGTAGTGATGTGTAGTGATGGGTAGTGATGTGTAATGATGGGTAGTGATGTGTAGTGATGGATAGTGATGGGTAGTGATGTGTAATTATGGGTGGTGATGTGTAGTGATGGATTTTGATGGGTAGTGGTGGACAGTGATGTGTAGTGATGGATGGTGATGGGTAGTGATATGATAGTGATGTGTAGTGATGTGTAGTGATGGGTAGTGATGAGTAGTGATCTGTAGTAATATGTAGTGATGTGTAGTGATATGTAGTGATGTGTAGTGATGGACAGTGATAGGTGCTGATGGGTAGTGATGAATAGTTATGTTGAGTGACACATAGTTTCATGTTACATGAAGATATTTTAAGCGGATTTAGGAGACCATAGTTTTGGTCCCCAGTCTACTCTCAGCCGTGAAAAATTAACATGGCGGAACAGTTGTAGCAACTGAGAAGGCCGGGGGTCGTCAAGTTAAATTTTTTACGATTTTCCTGCTCAGGGAAAACAATGGATGAATATCTGATAAAGCCTCAAGGTTTTTCCTTACTAACAAGAGGTTTGCGGCATATTATGTTCACGGTGAGTGCTGTTTAGCGAATAATTGGCTTGATAATAAAATTCTTTAATCGTGGCAATCAACGAGCTAAATTTTGTAAGTAAGTAAACAAATGAACACAGCCTTCTTCATTCAATATGCTTGCTTTGTCAAAGCTATGTGCGAGGTTTTCTCTCTTGGTGGTATTGTCTAGGAAAACACCTCCAAATAAGCTAGTACACTGCTTTTGAAAGGTTCGGTTAATTAAATGAGATTTGCGTGTCAAATTGAATGTTCACTTGATGATATTATGATTAACCATGAATATGGAATACGATTCTTTTTTAAAAAACCCTGTCACTCCTACAGATCGAGTGTTATTATTAGTTGCTCCAACTTTTTAATCTGTGAACGAAAGCCTATGGTGCTAATATTCAATAATCACTAAAACCTGTTTTGCATGTGATAGGAGTATTTCTTTCTTAAACTTATAAGGATTTGGTGAATTTTAGTACACAATACAATACAGTACCCTTTATTTAACGTGGTCAATGTTCTTAGCTTATTAGCTACTTTACAGACATGCCACGAAAAATAAATAAATAAACTACAAATAATAATAGAAAGAGAAGATTTCTCATAAAAACCTATATAAAAATATAAATATTGGAAGTAGGAAAAAAAATACACTTTCATCTCGACAAGCCTGTTTCGTGATCGCTCACCCTTCAGGGGATTTCCAATATTTAGATCACGCTCTACTTTAACGTATCAAGCACTCTACTACGGAAAAATCGAAACACAGACTTCCTATATAAAAATATATATATACAGTTAAAAATTATTAAAACTATGAGTAGATCACGAGATGATTACATAATGATGTTAAAACTAAGCGAAATGTATTTACATGTATTTGCGTGATTAAAATGTAAAATTTGAGAAATCCAACTTACACATTAAGTTCTTAAATGTTCCGATATTATTAGCGGCACGAAACTGATCCGGAAGAGCGTTCCAAATCTTAGCTGCAGTATAATGCCAAGATTTAAGTCCATAGGTGGTAGTGAAAAAGTTCGCATTTTTGCAACCTCCCTAGTTTTGAGGCTGTTGTTGTTTTGAGGCTGTTGGGACAGTCATCGTAAGTTAAGTTAAATAGATGTGTTGTAGTTGATTTTTTATCTCAGGTAATTTTTCTTTTTCTTTTGTTTCTTCTTTATATAGCATACATTACCATACCCAAAAACAAAATAAAAATAAAAATTACCTGAGATAAAAAGTTAAGTACAACAGATGCCTTGAATCATGTTGAATTCAAGAATACTGCAAAATTGAAATAAATAATTGTTGTTGTTGTATGGTCATCCTGATGCTGAAAGGTCTAGCAAGCTGATGCAGGATGGATGCCAATGATGCACCCCTTCTCTTTACCATTGAGATCTATGGAGCAAATTTTGTCACTCCTGGACGGTACTTCCTTATACTGAAAATAACTGGAAGTAAAGTTAATCCCCGAGCATTGAAGCTCTATGTAGGAGATTCTAAAGTTCCACTGAATGATAATGAGTTTACTACTGATGCGTGTCTAGAGGATGGGGATCCTGAAACTTTGGCAACATTCACAGACTCAGTGATCTCATTTTGGGTGCCACAAGGTAATTTTGTAACTTATTTGTTAACTGTTAAACTGAAATAGTTCACTTAATGTTAGTCCCTCAGTAGTCAATTTTTATTGATAAAAATCGGTAAATCTGATTTGATTGATACCGATTGTATTAATCAATTGGTAGAAATTGATAACACGCTCATTTTGCTGATCAATTTATCTTGATTTTTACCTATTTCAGTGATTTATATCGGAAGATACAGCTGTTCATTTGTTCATCATAAAATGAAAACTGAATTCATGCAAACAGTAAATTAGTTGACAATTGAGTTGTAAGTGAGTTCGAAGGATCAAACAATTATCTCTTTTTAAAAAAGTCTTCAAAAAAATCTTATCTTTTCTTTAAAAAGCCAAGTTTAAATCTTCTTCTGATGGCTGATAATGGCCAGGTTCGTAGGTGCATAGTTTTTCATGGTTTAGATCTGCCACCCTTTCAAAATAATGTCGGTGTAATTCTGGGTCTAGTTAAATCCTGGAGTAGCCAATAGCTAAAAATCGAAATCGATAAAAGTGATTTTTATCAATCGATAATATGGAAACGGTGAAAATCTATCAAGGGAAATCTTTTAGCCTGAATTCCAGACATCCCTTCAACTCCAGGGGATGTCTGAAATTCAGGTTAGGAAATCTTTGTCTAAGGTTGTATTTCTCATGCTACTTGCCTGCGATAGCTGAATGCAAGTAAACCAAACTGTTAATTTTTGTTATTATGTACAAAATAAAGGGCCTCTGAGAGAAACTTGCGTGTAATATTTTCCACTTTTCTTGTTTTAATGTTTGTTGATAAGTTGTTAACTGTACGTTATGTGTTTTCTCAGCTGTTCTATCTAACTTAAAAGCAGCAATGGTGGACTTCTTTTATAAATCATTCAAACCATGAAAAGTCAATAATATTGATTTGACACAGCAATTTAGTTTATCGATTTTCACCAATTTTCATTATCAATCTTAAATTCATGTCAAAAACCCATTATATCAATACACAACAAGGTTCCACTGGAAACACTGACGATTCCGCTGGACTTCTTCTTTTCTATTCATGGGAGACTTAAAATATCAATCATGTTGTGTAGTGTGCTTGTCCAGTCATGACTAAGAGAACCAGGTCATATTTATATAATACATCTGTAGGGTGCTTGTCCTGGATTATGGCTTAATGAAGTTTTTTATGTCATGACTTCCAGTGAAGTCCAGTGGACTCTTGTTGCCGATGACAGGACTAGAAGGGTACATTAAACATTTTTGAAGATCAGTAAAATGACTTGAACAAAGATATATTTTTTCATGTATAGGTAAATATAAAATGTTATTGGTTGTTTGCCTGAGTCTGTGATTTCATATTTTTTGTCAGAGAGTGCTGATGGAGACATTAAACTTCTTGTGGAAGCATTTCAGCTTCCAGAGAATCCCTTACATGAAGGAGACAAGTATGGTGAGGCTGTGTTTGATGTTTTCCCAAGAAAAGGCACTCTCTTCTCTGCAGTGCGACAAAAAACACCATCATCTAGAGATTCCCAGGAATTGTATCAGTTTGAGACAAATATGACATTAAGTCAAGTTGTGACGAATGAAGGGTTCAGTGCAAATGCTGGTGTCATAAGAGCTGCTGTAAGTTTGAAGCAAGACCAACCTAAACAAGAAGGTGAGATATATATACACCTTACTTGAGGCCCTTTTAGCCGGGGGTGGAGGGAGGGGTTGGGGTACATACCGTAAAATTCCGAAAATAAGCCCCTCCATGTATAAGCCCCTCCAAATATACTATATGGCTAGCCCGATCGATTTTGAAACGCAAATTTCCCTCCATAGATAAGCCCCTCCAAAAATAAGCCCCTCATAAAGGGCCTTTGAAAAATATAAGCCCCGCGGCTTATTCTCGGAATTTTACGGTATATCCTTAGTCTGAATTTCAAATATATAGTCATTTCACATTTTGAGGTGTAGGCCATGTCCCTGTCAGTGTTTAACCCATCTTTATGTTGTTTATCACCAATTCATTTAGTCTTAAGCTGCTTGTCGGAATTTCACCCCAATGGGACCTTATACTTGTAACAGAATTATGGGTACATGCTGCATGTTGCTGTTATTGTGTCTGTTGCGATTAACTGTTTTATGCTAGTGTTTGTTTTGATGTGTCATGTGTATTGCATTTCTGCAGCGATGTTATTTTTTTTTCCCTTTCTATCAGTGCTTTATAATGATACCCAGGAAAGGTAACAATAGTTAAAGCAAATTAAAGGTCTGAACAACTGAAAAAAAAGTTTTTGAGGAGCTTATAAAAAGGGAAATTAGTTTTCTCTGCATTTGATATATATATGTAGTGGCTCCATTTTATCCTTGGTTTAAAGGTGACTTTCTTTTGTTTTTGGGTATTAGCCAAAATATTTTACCCTTACTTAAGTACAGAGTTATTTCCATAATTTTCAAAAGTTACCTTACTGGGACCTTGTTATTGAACTGTTGAACTCTGAAGATACTTATCTTTAATTTACCATTGACAAATCACATCATTATTTAGAGAGTGTATATACTGTCATGTAAGAATTGATGTCACTTGATTATCTAATATTATTATTATTTCTTTTTCTTTTAGTTTTTGTTTTACATACCTTTTGCAATACTGTAAGTAATATTACAGTCAGGCAAATAAAGGTTATTGTTTGTTGTTGTTGTAGCAAAGAAGCAGGCAGGTAGAGAGTTAGCCAGTATAACTGGGTCAGACCACAGAGACCCTATTGATGATTCACTGCTAAACCCCTACAATGATTCTAGCTTGCTTAGAAAGCAGATGAAAGCAGGAAGTTTAGCCAATTTTTGCCCAAGAAGTGAGTTTCCAGAAGTTAACAGCAGGGAAAAACTATTAGATATGGAGGGAGATTACATGCAAGATACCTCTACAGGTGATGGCAATTTTGAAATAGGGGGTATTAAATTCTGTATGTATATTTAACCCTGAATGGCACCAGTTGTTCAAATGTTGGATATGTGCATTATATCTATGTAGTTCATAAAGATTTAACTACAACATGCTGTATTTACTTGAATAAGCACCCCCCTGATTAAGTGCCCTTCTCAAGTAACTGCTACATTTGAAGTTTTTGGTGATGTGCAATGTACAACCTACTTTTACTTGTGTCCTTGTGATGTTGTAGATGGTGGAAAATAGAGCAAGTTGTCTGGAGTTTTAGATGGAGTATACTATTTACTGTATACTGTCCATTGAAATAATAATTTTGTTTTTTAATTTAAAGACATTCTGTAAATTTGGTTGGATCATTATCATTAGTTGCATTGTAGAACCTCAATATAATGTCAGGGCCCAAGCAAGTTTCTAGATTGTGGGTTTTCGAAAATGTCAATGACACTTATGAAACATTCATGTGAATTTTGGACAAAAGAAGAGTGATGCTTGGAACGTTTTTATTGGAGTAGCTAGTGGCTCTAGGTTTCTCTTGCTTCATCAGTTGCACCTGCTTTATTCAAGCTCCCAAGTTTCTTTGTCAGTAATACTGGTAATGCATTATATACATGCATTATTGTTATGTTATTGTAGACAGAGATCCTGTAGCTCAAAAACAGGAAGATGCAGGAAGTTTAGCAAACTTTTGCCCCAGTTTAGAGTCTAGATTTGACATAGAGGAACAAAAAAAGAGGAAAAGAGACATAAGAGGTATTATTGGACATGGAATACAGCTGTTGTTAAGTGGTAGATGTGCAATTTTTTATGTACTTTTGCAATGACTGCAGCTACTAAGATCAGAATATTTATTTTACATAATTTTTTATATTTTTAAAGCGCTTTTATGCCTGTCATGGTTGAGTTGGGCAAAGCTGATTCAGTGCCCAAAATTTGAGAGTGGTACAGTTACCATCTCATCATTTGTTCCTAGCTGATACATATACAGTAACTTAAATGTTTTAGAGCAGTACTGTGTCCTTTCAGGGGATAGAGTACTTGTCTTCATCTTCAGTTATGTAAGTGGTAGTTGTTGTCTTTCCTGCTAGGTCAATAGCAATAATATAAACAATTACTGGATGAGGTTGTTGTGTTATCTGGAATGATCAAGGTTGAGGTAACTGTTATCAGCCAAGCTAAAGGCTGAGGCTGATGATGCTTACCAAGACCTTGATTATTCCGGATATCACAAAAACAAATCTAACACTTGTTTTATTATACATTGTGTGAAGCGATCAAGGACAAACACAGCATCGTATAGAACACAGTTTGACATTGCTCTTGGAAATCCTGCTTTGCATGTGCAACCCACACATTAGTAACTAATCTGCTAGCAGATAACTTTATAGCTAATCTGTAGATTGCACTGATTTGCAAGATTAACTGAAGGCTCTTAGCCAGTGAGAAGACAGATATTGTGTACAATGCACAATAATAATAATTTATTGCATTTATTGTTATCCGTTCATTTTCTCTATTTTAGCTAGACTAATGTACCAGGCTATAGTTCAGCAACAAGAGGAGGCAGGAAGTTTAGCAAACTTTTGTCCCAGTGTTGTTGTGTATAGTGATTCACCAGCCAATGAAAAAGTTGAATGTAAGGTGAAATGGGAAGATGAGGAGGAGGAGAATGTCATTTCAGTATGTGAGTTTCTCATAAAGCCCTCTATGGGGAATCTCACGAGAAGGTTGCAGAGATGCTTTCCATTCGTTTGCCTCAATGAACCTAAAACTAACACCCTTTAACACAATCACATTATATGAAGTGGTGAATATTTTAGGAAAAATCTGACTCTAGTTAGTTTCTTACCATTATTAACAGTGGCTATTCTCCCTACTTTGATAATATTATGAAGTTTACCTCTGTTGCTTAAGAATCTTGTGGAAGTAGATTTAAATCACATATCTGTGATGTTAATAGTTATCACCATCCTTATCGTTCATGCAAGTAACTTAAGTCTGCAAATATTGTAGGGGAGAACAACCGCAAGGAGAGTGCCAGCCTGGAACACATTATTTTTCCTAATCTGGTACAGAAACAGGAAGCACATTTAGCTAACACTTGTAATAGTGATGAGGGAGATAGGGCAGAAATTTTGGACATAGAAAAGCATTGCTCAGATGAGGACGAAGATGGATTTGTAACAGAGAGGTTTAGAAGAGGTAACTTTGTTCAAATGAAACCTGAGGATTACTAGGCTAGCAATGGCAGCCCTGTTGACCATAGAACTGACAGCCACAGGCCAGTCAGTTGAAATTTACATAGAACTTCCCAGGATAGCTGCTCTTTGGTAGAGAAACAGAAAAGGGTTTTTATTAGAAGAGTTAGTGACAGGAATAACAAGGAAGCTTCTTTGATGTCTTAGCAAACAAGTAATCTCAAATTAAAGTGGTCAGTTTGTCTTGTATGATCTCAACCTTTTTACTCCATGTGGGAACATCTCTGTCTTATATCACTTCCCAATGTCTGTTTCTACACACAATAGAAAAATGTTGTGATATTAGCTAGGTTATTATAAAGAATACATTACATAGGAGAGATCTCATGTCTATATCAAGTTAATTAAATCAATTATGTAGCCTTAAGCTTTCACAAGAAAGATGATCTCATGTATGGAACAAAAAACTCCATCCATCCCTTGGCTTACAGGTATTGTCAGGGTGAACCAGCAAAAGCCACTGGGATGAATTTGATGTCAGCAGCCTTTGATTTGGTTAATCTATTAAACAAGTCAGGCAAAGCTGATGTAATAAGGGCTAAAACAGATGTGAATTGCCTTTGGTGTCATTCACTTCACCACTCTGATAACTCTCCTCGATCAAGTGGATAGTGCTCTTTACACATGTTGGATATCTTTAGCAGAAAGAAGGTCAAATCAAACCTCATTTTCTTTCTTTCAACTTCTTGCAAAGATAAGCAAAAGTTGCTGTTAGTTTACACCCAAAGTCTTGTGTTAAATGCAAGCTGCAGTGTTCTAAGTTGCTCTTGGGATGATTTTAAAACAACGTTTTCTCAATCATTTGAGGTTAATTTTTGTCCCATCAGAACCAGAGGAAGACCCTGCGAGGGAGCCGGAGTATGTCAAGCCAAAGTTACTTCCAGTTCCCGGTGACCCTGGGCCAGGGCCTTCATCAGCTTCAGATGCCTCAACAGCCATCAGAACAGTAAGTACTTTCCTGAACTGCCACAACATTGGCACTAGTTTTGTTTTTCAGTTCAGAAACATGCACTGAATTTGCACTACTGTTGAACCGCTGCTATGGACATACCTGCAATAAGTGGACACTGATCCATGGTCCTAACAATATTTTGATGTACAGACATTGCATATCAGACCTCTGTTTGACAAAGTTTTTAGCTGTAAGATTGACCACTGATAGCTCAAAGTTGACTGTAACCACTAGTAGGGACTGTATAAAATTAAGGGAACATAAAGAAAGCAATCAGTTTAGTGAGCTAGTTAACAACTCTCGTGCTTATTTCTAAATTTGTTTGCTGTCTTTGCACAACTACAACTTTAAATGGCCAATTTTTAAGTGTACGTGATGGGAGCAGCAAGGCAATAAATTCCACCACCTCTGTCTGAACTTGGGTGTGGTCTCTTCAGCTCCAAACTTAATTCCCTTTTTTTAAGTAAGTGGGCAACTTGGCATAATTGCGAAAAAGTTTGGAGGGGTGCAAAATCCATTTGTCCACAACTTTTCCATTTTCTTGCCTTACCTGATGATCACTTCCTCTTGGCAAATATGTAATTTGGGGTGACTGCGAACAAAAAGTGCTGAACTGGTGGTGTTATAGACTGTAAAACATTTTGTTTTCCTCAAAATTGGTTTTGAAGAAGACTGTGTGAGATTTTCACCCACATTTCAGAAAACAGTATTCTGGCCTTGAGAGTATTTGACAGGAATTTGGTAAAATAGCCTGCCATAGAACTTTAACTTGCCAAAAATAAGAACTCCATTCATAGTTGGGTGGTACTGTTTAATCAGGGCTGTCACTAAAATTTGTCAGGTATATAAGTTGCCAGGTATATATTGGCGGGGAATTGAATGGCTAGGAAGTTCTTTTGTTTCTATGAAAGTAGCCAGGGGAAAAGCTCATAGTAGCTGGGGGAAAAGCTCATAGAAGCCAGGGGAAATCCCTGGCCTCTAGCCCTAAGGGACAATCCTGTTATATAATACTCTCATTATTCCCTTTTACATAGATTCAAGAAACTGCCCTTGGTTCTAATATAAACAGCATACCTGTGCAGCATCTTTGTGGAAGCTACTTAGCAAGGGAAGGATATTGTGAAGTGGTAGTTCTTGCTCATGGTGCTCTTGGATTGCCAATGAAATCAGACGGAAGACCTCCTCAACCTTATATTGCAGGGTATGTGAAGAGAAGCATAAGACTGGCGCATGAATTTGGGTGATTTTCACATCTCTTGGAATTTTGTCTTCCCAGCTTTGGAAACTGTTGCATGTTTGGGTGACAGAAAAATTTAATTTCATATTTAATGTAAAAAAGTCATCTCTGCTCCATGAAATAGCAGGGAAAAAGTGTTAATGTTATGGTCAAATAGCTGCTGGTTTACTTGTGATAGAATTTGGCCAACACACAATGACATATTCAGGTTCTATTATACAGGAATGGCTAACTGTGTCCGATTGGCTGCGTGGTTGCGTGAAGCTAACCTTAACATATAGCTCTTCCTATAGAGGCAAAGACTTCACTTAGATGACAAACCTGTACACATGTACATACACTAATGTTTGTAAAATGAGTATAAAGTTGAGTTACTTATTTACAGGAAGTCTGGAGTTACTACATGTGTACCTGTGCAGAATATTGTAGTAGTATATCAAGACAAAATTTGTCAATGTGATACCGTGGTGAAATAAAGATTATGATGATGATGATGCCATGTTTGTACCTTTACAGGAACTCTGGAATTACTACATGTGTACTTTTACAAAACATTGTGGTAGTATATCGAGACATGTTTGTAACTCTTTACCGGAAGTCTGGAATTACAATATGTGTAGCTCTACAACACATTGTAGTAGTATATCGAGACATATTTTTACCTTTTTACAGGAAGTCTGGAAAAGCTGAGGCTCAGAATCAAATGGGACAGTCTGTCACTCATGCCTCTATTCAGCCAACTCAGTCACCATCTTGGGAAGAAATACTGTTAGTTGAATTCAGAGAGGAGAATTCCAAAGATGAAGGTTGGTTGAGTGGTAAATTCTATTCATTTTTATGTAATACTGCCCACGTGCCTTCGTCCTTAAGTCATAAACCATTTGAAGAGCACGAGAAAACTCATAAAGAGATCAAACTCTCTGAGCGAGACTCTCAGCTCTTAAAAGTACGGTAAAACAGGCTAGAAAAACGTGCAACTTGTTTTGCAACATTGCTAGAAAATGAGTTGAAAAGTGATGTTGCGTGTTTTACCACCTAGATTTGTTGCAAGACAGGTTTGATTCGTGGGTTGTAAAACGCGGAACATCGCTATTCAACTTGTGTAGCAGCAATGTTGCAAAACAAGTTGCACGTTTTTGTTGGCCGTTTTTCGGTAGCTTAAGACTCTTGTCTCGCGGTAAGACTCTGGTCTTGCGAGAATCAAGACAAAACTGTTTACCGCATGCGATAAGCACTCTTTTTATGATGAGTTTTTCACTTTGCTCTTTTACAGTTTTAATCCTGCTGTTAGCTGACCACCCAAGCAAAGAGTTACTTACAGAGTACACAGTTCCGCTTGCTCATTTGAAGCCCTTTCATCAGTATCATCTGGAGCTAGTTCAGGTATCCATCTTTATTACATACATACTGAGAAATACTCACCAAAAAGCTATGTCGTAAATTTTCTTATAACATATCTGAGATAGTACTCTCCTTCGGCCCGTGACATCTCACGTGGATGAATTCTCTGGTAAACCAATAGAAAGAGCGGTGTATTGTTTTTAAAATACACCACCTTAGTGTACACACATCCGTTGAGCCCTAACAGAGACCATTCTTGTATTTTAACAAAAATGGGCTGTTGGCTCAATCCTATGAATCAGTGTCTTGGTTACGTTTTTGATTCGCGTTTTTTTTCTGCTGAGAAGAAAGATTTAATTAATATTATTTCCTTGATTTTTTGTATCCTTAATGAAGAAGGGTGGGACTTTAAGAAAACAGTATTGATTGTCTTGTTGCTATGAAAACGTTTGAGATACCAGTATATATCTAGAACCTCCTGTTTACAAAAAATGTAAATAATTTTGAAATCCTACGACAGGTTCTTTCCTTACTTCGTTAAATAAGCACTGGAGCCCTCTAGTTTTTTCTCTGCAAATTTGGTGAAGTTTGAAGATAATCTCGACCATACAACTCGTTGCACAAAAAGCTGGTCAAACTAATTTTCAAATGCTCTGCTAGCGCATTTGTGTTAGTTGACCCATAATTAGGGGAAGAGTGCAGCCAGACTATCTCCTATCTGAAAACTTGATGATATAACTGTAAGTAATAGGAAACCTATGGTGGACTCGGTAACGCTACAAGAAGGACAAATTTTCACTGAATTTCAATTACTTGTTTTCTCAGTTATCTTTTACAGCTTTACTCTTTACTTTACCCTGAAGCTCGGTCAGTTTGTCCGAACTGCAGTGACCCGAGGTGACTTATTTTACATTTTTCCGGCTTTCAGCCCAATCCAGAACTTAGCGGTGACATTAGATTATACATCACCTTGATGATGAAGATGGACAAGTTACCGCTTCCCTCTGCAGGTTTTAAAGTCTTTGGACTGGAGGTATGTAATAGTCTTGTATTGTTTTATGAGCATTCAACTGGCCTTTTTCAGGTGGCAGTTGTGACTGGTTTGGTGCTGCGTCAAATTATGGGACAGATATTGGGGACCAATTTTAAGCCAGTTTCTGCATAACCTATTGTACTAGGCTGATTTTGCGACAGGACGGTAACGTCAGTTGGCGACGGGAAAGCTCGCGGAAAGGACTAAACACGACTTCCGCCATTGATCAAACCGGTTGTTTGATTTGCGCGCGCCGTTGTCAACTGACGTTGCTAAATCAGCCTATTAGCCAACCGAGAGCGCAAACGTCAGTTAAAAAATGAATTCGAGCTGTCTGCTGTCCACTTTTTACTGGGACTCTTTTACTGGGATTTATAAACCACTTAAATACTACATTCATCTCAATACTGTCTTTCAACCAGATTTGCAAATGTTACTTTGTACCGAATGGTCTCCACGGTGTATCTTTCCTTTCCCTTTCCCTCAGGTATTGCTTCGTAGCTTGGAAGCCCCGGTCAGTAGCCAGATGGGACCGCTTGTTGCCACAGGAAGAATTGTAGCTGATTGGAAGGAATACAAGTATATACAGTTAACACTTTCTTAAAGCCTTGGTCTTATCTTATCTTATCATCTAGATCTTATCAACGTCACTGATACGAAAATTTAACGTTCTAAATCTGACTAATTTATTGAAGATTGGTAACAAATTACTCCTTACTTTTGGCGCGAAATTTCAGCGTTAATTTGTAATTTCACAGTGAAATTACAAACTTGCTATGGCAACGTTCCGTATGTCTCAGTGCCAAGATGGCGTCAAGGTTTTAAAATATTATGAATAAAGATGTCAGGGCATTAAAAGATAGTTTGGAAAACCTAAACACACGAAAGAACGCATCAAGAATTAGGTAGTTTGTCGAAAAATCAAGAAAATTGTGAACTTGAGCCAAAATTTGTGTTCTAAACTTTTCGATGCGTGGAGTTCTCGATACCGTACGATAAACCAGTTAAAAACCGAAGATTGTAAGCGTAATTTGTCACGCATGATATTAATATAGGTAGTGAAATGGTATACTCGTAAAATTAGGGACTAATGTCACTTGCGTTTTGTCCAAATTCGTATAATTTCACGATCGTTTAAATTATTAGAATTTGGACAAAACGCGCGTGAAATTATTCCCTAAATATTTCACTCGTCATCATTTGATTACACATTCTTATTTCACGCCCCAACTACGTATACATGTAAGTAAACTGTACATGGTAGCTCGAGCAGAAAAATGTCCTTGAAGTAGATCTTCTTATGTGCTCTTCCTTTGTCATCGCTAGGGAAAGTATGCTCTCATCTCAGCCCAGACCAGCTGGAGTCACAGTAACCACAATTGACTTTCCGTCGCCACATCCAACTTCATTCGCTGTAGCAGGAGCAACACCTGCACAGGGAGCCCCTCAAGTAACCACAGCTGGAACACCACAGGAACAGCCTCAGTGGAACCAGTCTTTGTTTTTCATTGGAGATGAATCCAGTTTGTTCACTGTTACTTCTGCTTTGGTCATAGAATATTATCCTGCATCACTTGGTAAGACATCTAACATGCAGCGAAATATTTCAGAATGATCTGATTAAAGGAGCTCTGTCACGAAATTCAGCCAAGTTAGGAAATTACAAAATGCCCGTTAAATTAAGAGAAACATAAAAATAACTGCTTAAAACTTTAAAGGAAGGTTAAAATAACATAACAGAAACAACAAATGCCACGGATGGGCAAAACTGAAGAAGATTGAAACGGATTGAAATTAGGGTTTTCGAAAATTGTTCAGCCTAACAGTTTTTCAAAGTTGATCCCTGCTGCGGGCAACTTCAAAAATAATGCTCAGGAGACATATTTATTTGTCTCGGATCTCTGATTTTGTCATATACCTGTAATTTCTTTGCTTACTTTAATTTCCATAGCGATTGAGGGCTAGTATTGGCGAAACTGGACTGCCGTGACACAGCCCCTTTAAGCAGCCAGCGAACGAAATTTTCACAATCCCTCCTAAAACATTAGATTAACTTTTTCATGTACCTACTACAAACTTGAGCGAATAATTCATGGCATCGTTCCATCTGAATAGCAGCGTCCATATAGCCAATTTTCGAGCCAAATTCTATACTGCTTGTGGAACCCTAAAGAAATCAACCTTTAGTTTGAAGTTCTTTATTGGTCCCTCTAGAGTGCGCATGCCACCACGGACCTAAACTCAGCAAGAGAGAGGCGCCAGTGTAAATTTGTAATCATTTTCTTGGTTGTTTCGCGTAGTAAAACAGTTACTGCTGCCTGCAGAAGCAAAAAGGTTACAAAATGTGCCGCGGCATTCTTTGCGATGAGAAAAGAAAAAAAGAAAGAAGATTGAAAAAGGGAAAACGTAAAAACGCGCCTGGTGGGACGAACGTTTTCTTTTGACTTAGTGGACTGTGTTGCTATTCTGTCCTTGACGAAATTGTTATATTTGTCATGTTGTGAGCTTGAAACAAGAAAAAATCTGAGTTTCTCACGGAACTGCTAATGAGTTAGATCATATACTAGGTTCATGTGTGACATGCGTCTTGCGCAATGGCAGGAATTGTTAAAAGCGGTGAATAAATGAGAAAAATATATTCTTCTTTGTTACGAGGATGGATCTTTCATCAGAGTATCCAATAAACACAGCCTCGTTCTTAGTCGTCCTCGGCTATTTCGGGTGTGACGTCACCTGTCAAGCTTGTCGGGACACCGCCCTGAGGACGAGGCTGCAATGAACATTTTTTTGTTGTTTTGTTAGCGATGAGTAGAGATAGTTGGCAGCTGTCAAGCCCAGTTGGATACTCTTACCAAACACTGGATCAGTTGCTTTTATCAAGCTTGAAGTGGGACAGCAGTAAACTTGGTCTCAGACTGGACAATTTACCAATTGAGGTGAGACACAAATCAGACTGGTGGCATGTCTATCCATGAACTATTCTAGTTGAAAGTGTGAAAATGTTAGTAGCTCCCTAGTAGCATATGGGTTATGTTATTTTAAGAGAAGTCGAAAGCTTCGAATCAACAACGCAATCGGATTTTTTTTTCAATAACAGCTTCATCATAGAAAGTTCTTACAAAGCCTCCATAGGCAGATTTTGCGAAGACAACGCAAAGTCGAATGAAAGCGCAAAACAACGCAGAAAGGTCTGGATCCGACTACCGGTGTTCAATTTGCCGCTTTGCATTTGGGCAATTCGGTTTTTAGATCTGTATGCGCTGTAGTCACAGTCGTCACGATGTCTTTGCTAAATGTTCTTAATATCCGCAATAGTTCACTGAGTTTTCGAACCCTCTCACCAGACGACTGTCTCGTTTCAAGGTACTAGAATCGTCTCGCGTGTTGCTTCCCGCGAGAAATGTGGGTGCATTGCTGCATAAGTCTAGTAGAATGAACAAGATTTTTCCCTCAGTTCAGCGGTAAGAGCATTCACCCAGGTCCCGGTTGAATGAAATCATGTTGGGATATTGCTTCTCTCTCTTCACGCTCTTGATAGGCTAAATACTGTTTCTTTTAAAGAAAAATCGTATGGCGCTTACCTAAAGTTAGAACTGGCCAACCGGACGGGTCATTTTGATAATTAACAGACTATTTTCTAAAGTTGTTGCTAACACCCATTTCAGCCCTGCGATGTCCTGACTAATAGTGGAATTCTCTTTATGACTGGAGTGGTCTGGTTGACCAGTTCAAACTGACGGTAACGGCGCCCTTAGGCTTTGATTGATACGTGAATAGTTTAATTTTGGGTCATTTCTTTTAGGGGTCAAACCTCAGAACAGCGATAGGTACCAGTCCTTCAGTTGGAATGGTGCTCAGACTGGTCACCAGCCAGGTATTTGCCAAATTATTCTAGTGACCTTTGCTTCAGCTGTTTGAGGAGTTAGTTAGTTTGCATTTCGCGATTTTATTGGCCTCTGTTGTGACGTCTCGGTCTTTTGTCTAAACATATACCAGTATAGAGTCTTCTAAGCCAATAACATCACATCTTTACTAACACACTACCGATAACGTCACGACCTAATTGACCAAGAGGTGAAAGAACAGAATCCCCACACCATTTACTAATGATACACTCTTTACTTTGACGCTGATGATGACTTCCGCGCAGTTTGTGGAAACATCAATCACTGTCACCAACAGTCCTATTCTCAAGACTACACTTAAACGGACGATCATATTTAATCTACCTTTGACATAACTCCAGGTTAATATCACGTGCTATAATGATTTTCATTAAAAACACTTTTTAATTTAGCCTTTATTGAACAAGCTTGTTCGGTCAAGGGAGCAGGATATTGGACTCTTTTTGCATTTTTATCGAGCTCGAATTCGTCTATAAAAACACAACAACAACAAAAACACCAAAACTTGGTCGATATCCAACGTTCTTGTTCACGCTTCGTTAGTATCGCTTATACATTAAATTGTACTTGTACTATTGACTTTTCCAGCGACCAGACCAGCAACTGACAGCAGCGCATCTGTCTTCATTGCCTGTGTTTAGGACGGCACCAGCTCAGCAGCAGACACAGCAAGGACAATCGTTCTATAATACTCATCAGCCAGCTGACACGGCAGTGCAGGTGCGATAATAATTTGGGTCCTTTTATCGAGATTACAAGTAACATGGTTTAGCTCTAACGTCAGCATTCAGTTTACAGTCAAACCAGGTGAAGCGTTCCCGTCGCTAACGAACTAATAAATTCATTAACGGAAAAATGATTTCGTTTGTTGATTCAATAATCCATTCATAAAATGAACGATCCAATATTCATATTTAGCCTCGATTCCATAATCGAATGTTGCTTCGATTACTGTTTTTTGAAAAACTACACTTTTTTTTCTTCGAGTCGAGTGCGGGCGAGTTTAACCTGCGATCAGGCGTTTTTTTTTAGGGATAATAGGGAGAGGGCATGATCTCAGGCTAGGGCGAGTTCTGAAGTTCAAACCCAAACAAACTGTTTGCAACGGACCTGACCTCTTAGAAAACACCATAGTCAAACTGAGGTCAATGTATGTGCGGTGATTGGTGGATTTCGATCCTCGGCCTTTGTCAGATTTTTTTGCATTTGCGGTCTGTCTATTCAAGCTGTTCTTTTGATTAAAGGCAATTAAAAACGCAATCGTAAACGGCAGGAAAAGGGAAGCAAATACGATTGAACTCAACAGACAAGAATAAAGAACAGGTAGATTTTGTTCATAAACCAAATCAAAATTTAATTATTGAATCGAGGTCCAATTTGACTGTTGGATTATTCATTTTATGAATGGATTATTGAATCAACAAACGAAATCATTTTGCCATTAATGAATTCATTAGTTTGCTAGCGACGGGAACGCTTGACCTGGTTTGACTGTAACATTCAAATCCCTTCTCAGCGCCGCTCGCCTGGCACCTGGTAGGCTCAGTCTCCAGCCGAGGGTCTCTCGATACGCCCGCGGTACTCCTCATCCGACGGGTCGGGTTGGAAGTACCGCGGGCGCATCTGGACCCTACTCACAGGGCGGGGTTGTTCACTGCAGGGTTAAGATAACCCAGGGTTAGTGCAAATATATGAAAGCTTAAAAAGCAACTTCAGTTTTATTCTTTTTGTCTACAATTTGATGATTTGATGCTCTAAAAAGAATCGAGAAAATTATTTGGAAAAATTTTTTTGGACAGAAGAAAAAGAAACTCGGGTTAGCGCTAATTGGCCTTCGAACAACTGGGCCCTGGTGAACCAATACTTTTATACAGTTTAAATCAGTGAATGGCAATTTTCGCGTTTTGATCAGCTCTCGTAACCCAGAATATCACTGGCTATTCACTGTTTTGGGACAGGGGCAAAAATGGCTTCTCGTTTCGAGACAGTTTCGGAAGACGAAATTTTAGCGATAAATGAAGCAGCTTTACCATCAAATACCAAGAAAGCAAGGAAATTTGGCTTGTCCGTGTGAACTGGTGATAGAAATTTTGTTCTTACCGAATTTATAACAAAATCTAAAAAATGAACTTAACAAAATCCCAAAAATTATTGTAACAGCTGTCAGTTGGAACGTAATCGTATCAAAGCTCTTAATACTAAGTGACTTCTTTTAGTTGCAAAGATTACTTTTTCGTTTTTGTTAAGGGGATCTGATTTGGTAAAATAAAGCACTAAACTCTCCCACTCAGGGTCGGTGCATAGCGCTAGGTGTTCTTCCGGATGATTGCTCCGTGAGAACTGTTTAAAACTTTAATAAATCACATCACGAAGACACCAACAGAAAAAAGGTGCTGAGCGAGCAAAACGACTAAAAAAGCTCGTAGTCTTAGACTAACAAATGCGCATGCGCGAGAATCTCTAAGTTCACAGGACTACCACTATTTTCTTGGGTGAATCCACCACTCTTCAACTCCTTTGCGGAGATAATGTACATAATACTGTAAAGGTATTATTGAAATATAATGGTAACCCCTTTCTTTGTTTATTATCAGACCCCTTATGGTCTTCCTCCAATGAATGCCGTGAAAACTATTCTACCACACTTTCATTCTCTATACAATGCTGGACCAAAGACTGAACCAGTCAAGGAATATGTTCCATTGGCGAACTTGTCATCCCCAAATGTATCCACTCCGCCGGAGAGAGGGTGAGTGTACTTTATTATACAAGCAATGAAAAGGAAATACGAGTCCAAAATATAATTGCGGGAAAAAGGCAGTTTCGTGACGTGTTTCATGTTATCATTGCTTGTGCTTTCACTGGGTGCTTGGTTCCTTCCATTTTACACCTGCTACACAACAATGAAAGCAAGAGCCGAAACCACAAGAGGACAAAAATTGTTAGTTTTTCTCCCGCTTGAGCTTATACCTAAGTGTACCCTAGGTAGCAGACGCTTTTTCTCTTGTGCGGCGGGGTGCTTCGTTCCAGGGGCGAAGCTACCAGCGGCGAAGGCGCTTGTCACTGTTAAGACTGTAACAGGATTAACTCAAACGATTGGAAGGTCGCGTGCTGGATTCCCTGAAACGGACGGCCAGTACTTAGGGTGTTAAATAACTGAGGGAGAAGGTAGTTCCTTGCCATGTAAACGACTGGAACTTCACTTGGATCGGATGACCACGTTGAAATCACAGGCCCGTCCCCAAGTAGGAGGTGTAAAAACAGTGTCGTCAGTTAGCACTTGCGTATTCTTGTAGACGTATTCGATTTTCGTGGACGGTTGCCCTTCCGTATTGGCGGGATACTGCTGAGCCGAGCCAGCGGCGTGTTTACATTCTAAAATAAAGTACGTTTTTTTGCGTTAGCGTAACTGGTAACCGCGCGTGAAAAGTCTTTGGCACCCAGGGTATTTTAGTTGTTTCTTTGTGTCGTAAGTTTAAACCTGGATGATGCGAACATAACAAAAGTACAAACACAAATACAAAGCGCGGTTTTGCTTGCATCGCACCGGTTCACTTGTAAGTGTCTTGCGTTGTACTTGTAAACTAGCCTTATGTTTTGTTCCTCTTTCAGAAGCATTGAAGCAGCTGGCAGTATTCAAATTCCTCCAGAAGTAAGCATTGTTTGAATTTTCTTAAAAATGCACCAGAAGAGCTCGTTATTTTTTTTGCCAGTGTCAAGCAACTGGCATTACCAGTTGGCAGTGTCGCTCTATTTAATGATGAGGCTCTCGGTGTAATCTTGTACAGGTGAAGGTAGTGGGGCCCAATACCACCATTACTCTATACCACACCATACCATATTCTTTTACAGTCGAATCAGGTATTAGAAAAATTTAGATTTACTTGTACCGCAAACGGCAAACGGCAAACGGCAATTTGTACCACGTCACCAAGGTTTTGCGTACACTTTTGTTGGTTAACTTTTATGTTGTTGTTGTGTGCGTATTGTTCAGTGTATTTTCAATCTTTTGTGTTACGTCATTTGGTGGTTGCACCCGTTCACAACAGCAAGAAACTACCCCTCTGGTTTCCGCGTTGTAGGAGGTCTGGGTACCAGGTGGTTTTTGCCGTATCATTTGAGGACTGTTTTATTCATATCGACTAAAGGTCAGTAAATGTCTCTTTCAGGTCAGAGGAAAAATGGATATCAGGGACTTAGCGGTCATGGATTATCAAATGAAGGTGCAAAAATAAGTAAACTTCGTCACACTTAAGCGCTTTTGTTTCTGAGAGGTGTTCAGTAAACTACTTAGCTTTGTGAATGTGATTCATGTCTACAATCATCGGCGACAATTACAGTTTAGCTAGTTTAGGCACTTTGACCTTTATGACACCTCTCTTTTTCACGACTCTATCTACTTCAAAAAGGAAAAAGCAAACCTTCCTTCCCGAACTGAAGATACCTATGACCTATAGTAAACAGAAAAACAAAGCGACTTTATTTGGGGGCAGTGGGAGGGGGGTTAGGGTAGGGGTCACGACTGTTTTGTTTTCCAAGTATGCCCCACTATACGACGGTGTCTCAAATCTTTTCATGCGAATTGTTAGGAAGTTATCTTTGTTTTGGATATATTTGTTATTTAAAGTGTTGTATAGGGTCATTGCCAGACTTCTTGTTGCGCAGTTTACAGTCAGTGAAGTAATGGATTATTCATAGCCCCAAATGTGATTGTGAAATGAGATGAGGACGGTCACTGTGTTTGTTCACGTCTCTCAGTCAGATTAGATAAAAGCAATATGAGATACGACCATAAAAACGCACTTTATTTTAGTGTCAGTGTATTTAGTACGAAAGTACTAATTGATGGCGCTATTTTTACGTCCCACTGGAGACGGGACCGCCATTTTACGTGATCATCCGAGCCACGCGAAGGTCTAGCCATTTGCAGGGCAAAGGAATTACCTTCATTTCTCAGTTATTTTAAGACCCTGGGTGTTGGTCCGCGCCCGGGAATCGAACCCATGACCTCCAGCTCTGCAGTCAAGTGCTCTACCCCATAAGGTCCTCCGGAAAATTAACACGGGCCTAGTGCTTTACATTCCGGTACCGAATCGATTGGACTAACCAGGTGGTGCTTCTGTCATCATTTGAATGGTTACATCTGCTATAGGATTTCGTCCACAGACTCAAGAGTTTAATAGAACTAAACCGCTTTTAAGATCGTCTTTGCGTGTGAAGGGATTTAATTTCAGTTATTGCTTTACACTAAGCTATGTTATATTTATTGTATTAACAGGAAGTAGATCGCTATAGAACAGCAATGAGAAAGATGGCAACAGATCTCCTCCATGTGCGAGAGGATTGCAAGCGATTAGAGGTATGTACTCGCGTGCGCACACTGTTGGTTAACTAGTGCAAAAAACTCAATCAACTCTCGCCTTACGGACGCCTCGTTTATATAAGCTAAATTCCCGACAAATGTTAGACTTTGACGTAAACAAACTTCAGATATAACGGATTGTCGCTAATGTACGGAGTGTTTTTTTTTTCTGTCCCAACACAAAAATTTCCTCGTAACGGACACTGAGCTCCATCTTTCAACACTTAAAAAATATTAGCTTGAGAAAACAGCCGACACCTCAGACGCCACCACTGGTTTCCTCGAGAAATGATGTCTGAGAAACGAGCGCAGAAATTCCATACTGATGACGTGTCACTACCCAAATCTGGGTAGTGCTTCTCATTGGCCGTGCCGCGTGGGAAATTTGTTTCAACCAACCAGATGCCTACCAGATCTCGGTAGTGACGCGTCATCAGTATGGAATTTCTGCGTTCGTTTTTCAGACGTCATTTCGCGGGGAAAGCAGTGGTGGCGTCGCGAAATGTCGGCTGTTTCATCCGTTTCTTGTCATTATTTTGTTTTTCGGCTGGTTTAGTTCATTGTAAACATACGTTACTTCTCTATTGCACATGCTTGTGGGAAAATTCTTCTCTCACCTCATAGTTACATCGGAGCCTAGCTTGCAGTCCCGAGCGTCCATAATATTTGTGAGCTGCGGATGAGTGTATCCGGTCTTTGTAACGTTGGTTGTACGAGTTCGTGCGATCTTTAAACGAGTGGCCTGACGCTAAGCGTGGGTAAAATGGAGAAGGTGACTGGGGTTAGGCGTTCAAAATACGCTCAACCAACTCGCGATTGAGGCTCGCGTGCGGATCCATGGTTTTGGCGCCAATATGATCCGCTAATGGTTTTCGATGTCACTCCCATAGCTACCGGTACTACTTCACCCCCCAAGATCTTGATATTTTTCCTGTTTTTTTTTTCCCTTTTTCCTTTCTTTGCTTTCATCTTCTCTATCTTTTCGTGAACAGTTATATCAGACGCTTATTTAATAACCGAGCTTAAATATTGTGCAACTATTCTCTATTACTCCATAGGAAGCCAACAGCAGGCTCCGGAGGGAACTGGGTCAGCATGACGAGATCTCCAGACTGATGGTCAGTTCAAAAGACTTGGATAATGTAACTCATACTGAGTTGGTGCAGAAATTCGGTAAGTTAAAATGAGTTCTACTTTTATTGAAAATCTATGGTAAACGTCTTTTATTTGACACGCCGGCTTTGTAACTGGAAACATGCTGGAGTGGTAGTAGACCGTTCATAGTTCCTTTTATTCCCGTTAGATTCGCAAGACCTTTGAGATCGAGCGCTTTCTGTAACAGGTGGCCATATAGGGTGTTTTCACATGACGTCACGGAGGCCATATTGGTGTCCCCAGACAATGAAACGGCGGCCATGTTGGTGTCCCAAACCAGTCCTGTGGGAGTTGAACTCTTTTCTTATGCAAACGCTTTCTTTTGTTCCAATAAATTTGCATAGTTGCTGGTCACGTGAGTGAAAACGCTCTATTGGTTCCAGTTGTGAGTGTACCCTACCTGCGGGGTCCCGACACTTGCCCCCCCCCCCCCCCCCCCCCCCCTCCTTGGATCACAACAGGCGCCGCCCCCCCCCACAAGCGCCTCGCCGTGCAACACGTTAAGAAAAAAAGGGGAGGGGAGAAGAAGTTGAAAGAGTGATGTATTAATTTTTTTTTCATTTCTACTTTCCTTTTTTTTTTTTTTTTTTTTATTCATATATACAATGTATACGAATAGAGAACCCCCCCCCCCCCCCCCCCCCTCAGTACGTATGATAACAAGGATGGCCGCCCATTACAGCAAGTGCTCGATCTTGACGATCTTACGGAAAAATAGGGGACTGTGAACAGTTTAGAATGACAGGTTTGTATCCAATTTTTCAGCCTTTCAATCCCTTTTATGCTTTTTTTTGGTCTACTGAGAAATAAGGCGTAATAGCCAAGGGTAGAAACACCGCGTGTCATTTCCTTATCAGTAAATTGTAACATAATGGCCCAGGTGCTGGACTTACGAAGACCTCCTCGTCAGTTGAAGATGTCTCTACAATGCTAATGTTTCTCAAGATGGCTTTGTTAATCCGGGCCGAATTCTTTCTAATAGTAGAAAGTACTTTTTCCCCTTCGAGGATTCTTACTTTAAGACGATAAATAAAGAGCAAATGAAAGCGTTTGGGACATAAAAGGAGACCCACGTATGATGTTTGTAAGTTAATGATATGTGTTTTTTCCTTCCATGAAAAGTTCTGCTGAAAAAGAAACTCGCAGATGAATCCTCGAAGAAACAGGATTTGCAAACAAGGCTTCAGCATCTTCAAAATGACCTCATCATGGTAACGTTGCACGCACAACATTAATCATTGCCTCCGTCGGAGGGTGTCTGTTAGATTATTTTTATTTTATCTTGTGGTGTGATTTAGTTTTCACATTGTTGTTCATCTTAGCTGAACTCTTCCTTTAAAAGTTATGTGTAAGGCGCTGTATTTCCGCGCGAATGTTTGTTTCTTTTTCTTGTTAAGGGAGATTCGACTTTTAAGGGTTTAGTCACTCATGCTATTTTTGTCGCAGTTTTCAAACGCAATATTTAACGCGCCCGAGTTCGCAGTGAATAACGCAAAGTAAAATATTCGCGATTTACTGACCTTTCCCGCAATCCGTTGCAATGTACACACACAACAATGCGAGGTCCAGGCTCGGATGGACAATTTTGTCCAGATCTCTGTATTTTGTCTACCCAAGCCTCGAGGTGGGTAAGGTCTATTTGTGACTGCAAAATCGTAGAAATTTTGAACTGGTAACTTAGAAAATTTGGGGGGCTGAGTATCATTGAGTTGCGGCCCAAACGGTGGTTTGGGGGAGCATACGTCTGATGCTTCAGACTTAAGAAATTGTAACTTGTCTTATATTTTCACCCGATTCGAGCAGAAAATTTACTGTCTCATATCTTTTGATTTGAAGTTGAATGGCGTTACTAACCAGATTTCGTATTTTAACAGAAAAATGAGATGGAAAAAGAGTTTTTGAAGCTGCAGGAAGCGCACGAGGGCCAACAAGCACTTTTACAAAAAATGCAGGTAATTGAATACACACAGATAACCAGATCAAGCTAACTTTGAAAACGCCTTCCTTTTCATACTTAGCGTTTTTGATTCCTAGATTTAGAAGGAGCAGCGATTTTCGTTATATATGAAACCTAACTCGATTGCCGCGTGTTCCGAGGCTGAGGAACGAAATTAGTCATTCTAAGCAGTTTAAGTGATATAAATGTGGAAAAAGCTATTACTGCCATCAGACTTTGAAGTCACTGCGCAAGCCAAAGTACAATCTGTACGAAGGCATTATATTTTGACTTCTGTAGCTCATATAACACCTTTGTCTTATTTGGTAGAGTAAGGTTCAGAAGTACAAGACCATTCAAGATACTTGCAAGAAACAAGAGAAAGTAAGAAAAAACCGTTTAGCAATGGCAGCATTTTTAATAAAACGAAAGTTTCAACTCCTTCCTGATCCAGGGGAAGGGTCTGGAATTAAGCGCCTCCGAAATTAACTTGTCCGGGGGGCAAAATGCAATGTAGCAAATCAAGAATACCAAGTTGGCTCTTCGGTTAAGTTACAGACTAGCTAAGCTATTGGGAAGGTCGGTAAGCCTTTCAGAATGTTGTGTTGAGCCTTGAATGGATTAGCTTCAGATCCAGGGAGAGACGACGTAACTATAGTGATCCGATTATATCCTTGGTTAAAAAATAAATAAATAAATAAAAGATAACGTAAGTAAAATTTATACCGAGAATGAAATTGATCCACAGCATGAACGCCTACCTGCGTGAGATTAAGCACATCGCCCACATGAAACAGATTTGATCTAACCTTTAATTTGATGCACGTGATGCTCTTCACTTCAGGTTATAGTTCAGCTTGAGCAGCTTTTAGCCAAACATGGAAAAGGCCCGCAGTATAACGGTGGTATGTTGGACTTTGACTTTGACTTTTATTAAGGGCCCAGGGGCCCGTTTCTCGAAAGTCCCGGTAACTTTACGGGCCCGAAATCAAATATTCAAATCGAAATATAAAGAATAAGAGCGCGGGTCCTGGCTAGCAAACTACTCCATTTTGTTTCATTAACTGACAGTTTTATCGTGTTAGATGCAAAACTATTGAAACCTCGATCTTTAATGTAAACGGAGACAGCTTACCGGGCCCGTTAATTATCGGGATTTTCGAGAAACGGGCCCCTGGAAATAGAGCGCTCGCCCTACGTGATAAATATTTCGTGCTATATATCTCGAAACAAGAGATATATGTCAGTAATGTTGAAAATGATATTTGTTATTTTTCTCTGTGTTATTCTTTGAAGAAAATAAAGACACTTACAGAACTCTTAGTGAACAAAACATCAAACTGCAAGCGGAAGTCATGCAGTACAAGGTACACAGAAAAAAACCACCAGTTTAGTATTATTTCGTTTTAATATCTCGTGGACAAACTGGTAACCTTGTATTAAAACTCTTAATTACGTTTAAAACAGTTTGTTACTGTTCAAACATGCCTTCTTTCTTCTCGTAATAACGAGTTTCATTTCGTTGAAATGTTTTCTTCACCGAACAAATTCAGTCAGTGACGCAAACAGTGCCGAAGAGTCTGCATGTTTAATCACTAGCAACTTTATCAGTTAACTAAAAAAGTAAACTAAACTGGCATTTTATTGGTTACGTTTTACACTTTGAAAAGTGAAAATGAGAAGCTTAGCCTTTGAAGTGCTGCTCTTGGTAATTTTAGTTCCAAAGTGAACTACGACAGACGTTGTGGTCCTGACTTGTTGGAATTAAAATGAAATTATGTGTTATTGCAGAAGCATTGTAGTCTCTTTTAAATGAAACCTTTTCAGCAACACTGAAGAGCATGTTGCTGTTTGTTTCTTTTTAATTCGGCAAAATGAAATAATTTTGTTATCTTTAGCGCGGTCAAGTAACCACCCAAAACGACTCGATAGTCTTTGTGGTCGCCTTCGAAAGCCGCCGACTATTTTAATGCATTGTCTGGAAAAAACTGATTTTGGTATTCGATTGGATAGACGGGTCGCCTGTTAGGGTTGGTAGAACGTGAAGATTCGGTTGTACTTCTTTTTATCCTTGAGAAAGGTTTGACTGCAACTGCCTCCTTTCTTTTGTTACTTTGTAGGAGTTGCTGAAGACAGCTGAAGCGAAGCAAAAGCTACCAAGGTACACAGTCCCAGTGACATGTCTAAGGAAGGGGCAAGAGTCCCCCTCCCCCTCCCTATATTTGGACAAAAATAAGAGGACTGAATACTTCGTTTCGACCAGAGATTGGTTGTGCTACTACTCCTGTCCCTCATTCTGTGTAATATCTGTCGCTTTTCTTAGCAAATTCCAAAACTGTCGATGTCTTGCAAATGTCCACGTGTATGAGTTTACATCATGATTGGAATTATAATAATCTCGAAGTACTTATTGTACAATCTTTGCCCTCGAGGAGCAGTGTTGTTTTCCCTTCCGGGCTCCTAGCTTAGCGTCCGGTGCACTGATTTTATTCAAATACTTTTACATCGATTTTTAGGTACCAATATTTTTCTTTGTTTTTCTTACTTCTGGTTAAAATTTCGTTCAAGAAAATCCCATCGTTCCGAAAAGCTGCCCCTGGGTCGCCGATGTTTACAACATACTTTTAAAAACAACTGTTCTAAATTGTGGACAGGACGTTTACTAGCATATAGAATCCGTATAATTTAACTTTTTATGGCAAATATGACTTTACAAAGAAGGAAACCGGGAGAAACTGTCTACCGCACGAGTTACTGCAGCTTGCGAACGGGTTTTTGACTCACGGATAAGGATTAAGCCTATTCCAAGTCGAACCCCCTTGTCGAGAACTTACTCGTTGGTAGCTCGGTGGGGGGACATCCATGCTAAGCCTGTGACTGAAGCATCGGAATGCTGCACGGATTAGTCGGCACATCTCCCAGTTATCTGTGATTTTCCTTTTGCATTTCCGTCCGGGTCTAAATGACATTTTACTTTTGTTTCAGATCTCCCCCTGACAAGCATGTGGCGAGTGTAAGTCAGGGATGAAAATTTATTTATTTGTTTGTCTTAGGAAATTAACCTTAATTCTCGCATTTACTGTACACTTTTTCCATGGCTACGCTACGCAAGGCTGTCCCGAAGCCGTCGGTTCTGTTGGCCGGTGCGCCTCTCCAGAAAATTTGGACAGACTAAGGGACACAACTTAGCATCAGGATTTCTGCGATCTTGTGTAGACAGTGAGACAGACCTTAGACTGCGAGCAGTCTCTCTTTTTCTTCAGATTTAGTAAGGGGAGTGCACGCGCGCGCGAGCGTTGAGCGGTGAAGCCGCGAGACGCGAGAAACGAGGGCGGCGCGTGGTCATTTGCGTGTCTTGGGCGTTTTGCTCGACGGTCCAAGAAAAAAGAGAGACTGCTCGTAGTCTAGACAGACCTATGCTAGCTTTAGTGACTGCCTTTGGAAACCATCCCCCTATCCAAAACTATCTCACGTCACCCGAACAATCCCTCGTTCCCAGTATCGTAAGCTTCTGGAGGGGTAAACTGTGTCTTTAATTCCTGTAAGGTTTTCGTGCTATTTATGAGAAGTGTATTTTTCTATCGTTTTTGCTGCTTCTATTTTGATGACGTTAAACTGGGGGATAATGCATAATCACACATAACCGTGTTGATTTCGCACTTTTTACTTTAAAATAAAGAGAAATTGCAATTGCTGTGTATTTTGTTTGGCAGAACGGCCCAATGTCCGATATGGAACGCCTTGAACTGTATGAAAAACTGGAGAAAGCCGAAGGCCGCATTGTTGCACTAGAAAAACAGGTATGTTGTAAAATGGTGGCGAAAACAAGTTTACCGGGGCACTCGGCCAGCAAGATTTCAAGATTATCCTCAAGTTATATTTTTAAATATCACAAATATACACCTGGTAAGAACAAATTCTACGGACACAAACAAGTTTAACACAACATTTATTTCTCAACTGAGAATATCTGCAACTGTTGAAGAGCTTATTGTCAACAGAAATTGTTTCCGTGTTCTTGAAGGAAACGTAATAAACAAAATTAAATGGTGGTACGTCATAAGGGGAAGCCGGAGCACCCGGGGAGGTATCTCTTAGAGTGAGACTGAGGAGAAGTTAGACAACAACCTCAATCCGCATATGCAAGCTTCGTCTCTGGAATTCGAACCTGGGTCGTGATAGTGGGTGGCAAGTCAGCTCTCGCTAATGCGCCGCTCTTGCTCCCCATGTCGGAATCATACTCGAAATGCAAACCTCCCAGTTACAGGATTACTAATGTCTCAACCTTTTTCTTACTTTTTAGTTGGCTGATAATGTGAGAAAATGGGCGAAAGACAAAGCTGATTTACAGGTAATTAGAAATTCCTTGTTTTCTATTCGTCTTAAAAGGCAGGTGCGAAGAGCGTTACTGGGAAATGTTGCCCCCAGCATATGGGGCTGAAATGTTCCTTCGGAAGAAGCCATAAATTCACTAATGATTGCTAAACTAAAGTTCGCGGCAACCATGTTGGCTGTTCGCCTTGCTGGAAGCTTATTCATAAAAACAACAGGGAGCTTCAACGACTGCGACGGCTAGGAAAACGTCACGTCACTTCAATTAAAAAGTGAATTCGCGCTGCCTCAAACTTTATTGCGCATACTCCATCTCGTTTAATTAGTCAGATGTTGACAAATTTTTTTGGAGTTAAATTCTAAAGGACTGTATACAGTAATTGTTGAGCGAAAGAAAAAGAAAGCTGTTGTCTTTTGTTTACGTTCTCGATCAGTCGTCGTCGGTTGCTTAAGCTCCAATAACGCTTGCCATCTCTTCCATTTGTAAGTAGATATTTCGGTTAATTTTGCTTTTCCTTTGTTTTAGGGTATGGTAATGAATGCTAATGAATTTGAAACAAAAGAAAGACAAAAATTACCTAAAATAAGAAATTATACCTGCAACATATACGTGTTGGATCACAGTCTCTTGTGTGGCGGGGCTGCTTTTCAGTACAGCTGCTTGTGGTGTCGTTAAATCCTGTGATAAAGTAATTATTTTCTTCTTGCAGGTGAAGTTAAATGAAAGTGTCGTAGGTCAGAAGACAGGATTCAAGAACTCGTATTCCTCTACGTCAATCGACATCCTAGACTGGGTTTGTAAGAGTTACTTGCTTTTAAACTTTGATATGTAACTAACCAATCGAGAAAATCATTTGTGATTTTGTACAGGGGTTAGCGATTAGTAACGATTTGTTTACTTGCTTGTTTTGTTCACAGCACAATGGCCCAAAACCACCATCACCGGCGAGACCTTTGGGTCCTCGTAGACCTTCTCCGAAGCTTGATCCTTTAGAGAGAAGATAGCAACTAGAGCCTTTTGAAACCATCAGCGAATTGCCTGAATCCCAAACAAGGGCTGGGCTAGAAGACGGTTTATTCGTCTCTATCATAACGCTTTGTTTAATACGATTTTCTGAGAATAATCAAACCGATGAGGAACAGTTGAATGAACCGAAACTAACGATCAACTGTTACATCTGTACTAGGTAATTTATCACTCTGCAATTGTTCTGGTCTGATGTCCCGGGTTACAAGTGCGAACGCCTCTTTGAATTTTTACCAAGTTTTGTCAAAGCTTGTCACTCCTCAGTAGCACTGTGACATGGGGCTCAGCTGGTTTTGTCAAACGTCACGAAGACGAACCGTCAGTCAGTCAGTCAATTTTAAACGCGAGTCGGGTACGCTATAACCTGAGAAACAGCCGACATTTCGCGACGCCACCACTGGTTTTCCCGCGAAATTCCATACTGGGTAGTGTAGCCTGAGTATCAGGCCTTCTTAAGGGGCTATGGTAGAGGAGATTTTAGATGAGGGAGGGGGGAGGGGAGGAGATATCTCTCCTTCAGCTCTCTCCCTTTTTCGCTTTCATCTTTCCCCTTTTCCCCCAGAAACGCCTGATACTCAGGCTAGCTAGTGCTTCTGATTGGTCATACTGCGTGGGAAATTTGCTTTAACCAGTCAAAAGCACTCAGACCTGGATGGTGACGCATCATCAGTATGGAATTTCAGCGCTCGTTTCTCAGACGTCATTTCTCAGGGCTGTTGACTGTTGCCTGACTAAAAATGAGGTGTACTGTTTTCTCCTCCTTCCTGAAACGAGGTATAACTTTGTAATGTCGAAAGCAAAAGCTTCAAATCGTCCATACACAACCCGGCGCCTCAGTTTTGAAATTTGGGATTAAGCCTGGTAATTTCCTCGTTCATCCATGCGTTATGTACAAAGAATATAAGTTATTTATTTTCATTAACTGGTATTTGAGTGAGGTATCAACAGTTGTCGAGTTGCAGTTCGTTAATAAGCATTTAACGTATGCTTAAATAAGGTTAAAGGTGCTGAAAGAAAAAGATGCGGTGTCATTTCTTAACATTCGCATTTCCTCTGGCGTATTTGTTTTTTGTAAATATTGTACGAAACAAGGATGCTGTAAAAAATTGCTCGCACGAAGTTTTATTAGGTATTAAAACACATTCATTACAATGTGGCATAGTTGTTTGAGCTGCCCCCTTCTCTTTTTTGGTCGATATTCTAAAACCATGCTTTTTGAAACGTTGGTTAATTCCGTTTTCACTAAACTACTCATCCTTTTCGAATAGCACAATTCAGTAGTGACTGAACACAGCCTCGTAACCAGGCCAGTTCGCGCTATCCGAGTTACCAGAGGAGGCTTGGAACCGAGTGTGATAGCGCGAGGTTTCCTTGGCGAATTTTCCCGACAAGCTTGGTAGGTGACGTCACATCCGAAATCGCCGAGGACGACTGGGAGCGAGGCTAGACTGAACAGGTAGTCCTCTTCAGGGCGGAAAAACATAATGAGCATGCGTGAACTTTTTTGCCCAGATCCCCTGGCCGGGTTTGAGAAAATGGGGGGATTTCAAATATTTTTTTGCCTAAAATTAAAATGTTTCTACTCATAACCTTGAAAGAACAGGCAATTTGTCTTCAAAAGTGGTTATAACCTTGCCATTACTTAATTTTCTCGAAGAATACCTCATAGTAAAACGGACTTTAACGACATTCATTTCCTTGCGTTGTACTGGAAATGTGCATGCGTAGGTCCGATTTTTTTTCAAGATGCATTCACAAAATGAGTTCATATAAGGAGGTTCCTGGATGTATAAGGTCCGAAGCTCCACTGTGAACACAAAAGTAACATATCTTTGGACAGTGATTTGCCCCCAAAAATTAACTCTCGCCCACAATGTGTTTGAAGTCACTGAACTTTGTCGCACTTGAGCTGATATTTTAAAACCCACGCTCGATCGGACACTCGTAGCTTCGCAGATCACTAAAAATTAAATATAAACAAAATCCGTAATGTAGAAGTTATTGCGTTGATATGTGGGCAGAAAAATGTCAATCTTTATCTTGTAAAATCCTTCCAAAAGTTGGTTTCAAAGAAACCATAGTTTTTTAAACTTGTGATCGTTTCACGGAGATAAATTTTGCTTTGTCGTGATGTCAAGTTGAACATGCATCACACCTGTCAAAAACCTAACTACGCTTAAGTGAGATTTCATTTAAGCAAAGTTAAAGTTACATTATTGCAAAAAACGTCTTTCCAGTTACGTATATGATTTAATTGCTGAGGTTGCTTTAAGGACCATAGACGCCTCTTTAAGCATGCAAAGAGATGAGACAAGCAAAGAACAATTCCATCATGCACAGAATTCAGCTTAAGTGAACTATAAAAAAAGCTTATTAAAATCATGTTCAATACGGTTGCAAAACAACAAATTATCATTAAAAAATCATAAGGCTCTTATACGTGACAATGACATCGACGAAGTGAATTTTCTGTACGAAAACATCCTACCTAAAGATCTTAAAAGCAAAAGATCAGTTGCAAGCTTCGCAGCCAAGCTATGATTCACCATATAGCCATTTTTAATAACTGGTCCATGCGAGGGTCTTCATTCAAGCAAATTAAACTCAGTAAATCGTTAGAAAATACAGAAAACTGCACATAAGGGTTTGTTTTGCTCGCTTCAGTCAAATCCAGCCCCAGCAATTGTTTAGGGGCAAAGAAACAATTGTTTTGAAGTCACTGCCGGCAGTTGTCGTTTTCAGCTACTTCACAGCAAGTGAAAAGGAAAATTTGTGTACAGAAAGAAAACAAAACTATTAAATAAAAAAAGAAAAAAAAAAGAGAAAAGAAACCTCTGACAATTATTACTTGAACAACAGAACAACAGTTGCCTATTCTTCTTAAACATGAGGATAATTAACGTAATTTGCCAACTGAAATAACGCAAACGTAGACAGATACAACTTTAATTTTCGGGAAATTTTAATTGAACTGTACATTATTCTTGTTTACGGAAGTATGATGTAACTTTATATAATTCGCGACCACTTCGCGTGACATGAAAGAATTTAGAATTGATGACATTATCCACTTGCACGCATAATCGCTCTAAATAAAACATTACAAAATGTGTTTAAATATAGAGAACTGTATGGTTTCAAAGCTATAAAAGCGAAGTTGTAAAATCTTAAGCAACTTTAAAAGTTTTAGGTTTACAGAATCGATCCTTTGGGGGTCAAATAAATCCTAAGCCGGTCTCCGTCGCATTAGGGGTTTGATTCTAATTTTCCGACCTGCATATCCTTCGTTTTCAGCTGAGGTTCCCCTCCCGCCGCGCCCTTACGGGCCCTCATTTTCTTTGAATAGCGTGACTGTGAAAATAGCTCGACCATAACGACATTTACGTCATCTGTCTTAGTCAGACGCCAATATTATGTCGAGCAGTTCCGCTTTCGACAATCAATTTCTCTTCTTCATCGTGCTACCTTACGTTTTATTAAATCGAAGTTCCTTGGATCAATTTTGGGTAAGGTGAGTAATTTTGCATTGGTTATTCAGCTTAACATACCCACAGATAAAATAAAATTTAGGATAATTATTTTGTCGAAGTTCCACTCGTACACCACACATTACCGTTTAAAGAATTTGATGGCCTCGGCATACAGAACTATCGTCACTATCTTGAGTACACGTTGGGTGCATGGTGTAGAATTTGCGGTGATGAAAAGAGTTTACTTGTTATCACCATCTGGTTCTTCGAAACCTTTATTATTTTCGCGTAAGGATCAGAAATGTTTACATTTGCGAGTACACTTCCTTGTACGTTTCCGCGCGATCATGGTCGCTATTTCGTTAAAAATACGCTCATTAAAGGGGTTGTTAGCACTGATCCCTTAGCCTGAATAATACGCCGATCACGGTGGGTCATTCGTTGTCCAAAATCAAAACGAATGAGTGTTTCATATTTGAAACAGGAATCAAACATCAAACGAATGTTCATTTGCAAATGATTTGTGTTCTTTAATGTCTGGGTCATCATTCATAGCGGGGATCCATCGCTTTCTGCGCAAAAGTAAAACCTTATCAATCCTAACAGTGCCCAACTTAAAAATTCACAAAAACATAAAAATTTTTTTTGGTAAAGTCCTAAGAGGTAAAAATTCTCCGAAAAAAGACGGCCAAAGAGGGAGAGGTTTCATTTGAACTAGACTTTGAACACAGACATACTTCCGGTCGTCTCTCGTTACTTTTCGGTGATCAGATAGTGAAGCAAGGCGACGACCGGAAATACTTTATTATAGGAAATTAACACTCCATGAAATTAACGCGAATTTTAACGTTAATTTAAGTCGCGTTAAATTTGTTGAGCATTAATTTCCTCGACGTTAATAAAATGCAGCGTTAATTTCCGCGCTCCTAATTTCCAGTATTTTAACCCCAATTTTGGAACCTGTCCAGATATTCTTGACACCTAAAAAACATTAACTACAAGCTTTCTTTCTTTCCATATCCCCTTTAATTTTCATCTTTCACAAACGCTAAGGCGAAGGTTTACAGTATTTCGAGTTCATCTTCATCGTTGTCGCTGTCCGAAGTGATGTCAGCTCAGTTTTGTGCAGTTTTGAATGTTTTTGCATTCAGTGTTGAAATAAATTTGTTCCAGTTCTCATTACCAACTGTGTCTTAATCGCGTTAATTTCCTTTATTATTTTGGCGTGCGATTTACTAGGAATTCAACAAGATCCGTTTTGCCCTCTTTTTTCTGTTGGTGAGCCAAAGCTTGCAGTTCTACCAGCGATTTCACGTTTTTCTCAACTATAATTTCTGTCACTTCGAATGTTCTAAGACGCTTTCTCTTTCTGGTGCTAGCACTCCTTCTAGACGTACGCATATCAGTATCTTTGTCGTCGTCACTCTCCTGATCATCCTCATCGCTATGATTTTCGTTTGCAACTTTCCTTTTGTGTTTGTTATTCCGCTTAGCACGACTTGCGGCACTTGTTTTCGGTTCACTGGCATTCTTAAGGTCCGGGTGGCCAGCACTCTCAATAAAATTCTCATCCTCTTTCGTTACGTATGTCCAGGCACTGTAGTAGTTATGGTGCTTACTTGAGTAGTTCGCGTTTATCCCGTACTCATTGCGTAAAAACTCCTTCGACGACAGCCAGCGTTGATTGCGATCAAGCTTCACACATAGATGGTAGTGTTTTCCGCATTTTTTTGTGGTTTTCACAGCTACAACACCACTGTACAATTTTCGCATTGCATTTCGCAAATGATTTTACTACCGCGGAGGCAAATTCTTCTCGCGTGGGAAATAGGTCCAAATTAGCCTGACTGTACGTTATCAAATAAACGCTTCTTACTTCTTTCCCACCTAGCGCTTCCTGAAATGATTCACAGTCCTCTGAAGATGTATCCTCGCTATCATAAGATCGTAAGAGTTCCATTTAGGTCGGCGATTACGAGAGAATGTCGTTACTCTCGCAAGTAAAGCGTTTAAGGACGAGCAACTTGTTTTAAGATGTGTCCATGGTAACGTTACTGAGAAAAACGCATTACACACCCCTTGTAATGTAACAGACATAACTTCATTTTTCAGCGAAAATTTTTTTTTAATCATTCCACGATAGTGAAAAGTGTTCAAAAACAATAAGTTTCATGCATTTCACCTAAAAAAATAACAATGACTCGTAGTAATTGACATCACAGTTAAAAAATGCAGAAAAACACCTCTAGACAACCTCGGACAAAACCTGTTGAGACACATTACAAAAATACCTATTTTTTTCACTCACCCTGACAAAAATGCTTACCGTCGCAAATTAAAAGACCGTTTCCCCCCTCCCCTTTTGCAATGTTGTTTGCGATAACAAAAGAAATGCACACTTGAGCTGTTAGGCCAAAACAACATTGCAACAGGGGTGGGGAGGGGGGCGAATTTGTTCCTTTTGGACACGAAGATTGCATGGCGCGAAATTGAAAATTGCATTGAAATGTCTCAACAGTTTTGTCCGGGGTTGTCTGAGATGGCTCATAGTTCAAATTGCTGTAGCTTCGCAATGGAAGTTCAGAAGATAGTGATTTTTGGCCCAGTTATTGCCCTTTTAATGAGCTTTCTGCCAAAGTATCGGAAACGTCAATTAAGCAATTAGAACACGTCATTGTGACGTCAAAAAGACGCCGCTATATTCAACAGCCTACTAGGTGCACGGGAAAGAAATCATGGTGTTTAATGGTGAAATCAATCCGTTCAAACGGGCTTATATCATGTATTTAACACAAGAAAAGCAATTATCGATAAAGGATATAGCGAGACAATGCCATGTTTCACGAGCCACGGCCTACAGGATAAAAAAGGACAGGATAATTGACAGCTATAAAAGAGAGGACTGGAACAGAAATTTGGGAGGAAGGCCCCGAAAACTGAGCTCGCGAGAGGAACGCAAAATTCTACGAACTTTGTACAGTTTGAGACACGAAGAAGGTAACTTTACATCCATTAGGCTAATGTCGAGAGCTGGGATAAGCCCAAAATATGTGAGTAACAGAACCATCAGGCGATTCCTTCAAAGGAAAGGTTACCATTTCCTCCAAGCAAGGAAAAAGGGCCTTCTGTCAGAAAAGGACTTAAAAGAACGCTTAAAATTCGCCAAACATATGCGAAAAGACTACTCAAAGGATGTTTGGAAAGACGATGTAGCTTTTTATTTAGATTGTGTTAATTTTTGGTATAAAAGGAACCCAGCAGATCAAGCCAGAGCGCCTCACGGCCGTATTTGGCGCAAGAAGTGCGAGGGACTTATGCGCGGCTGCACTGCAAAGGGAGCCAAAGTGGGAAGCGGTGGAAAAGTTGTGAAAGTGGTTGTGGCTATTAGTTACGGCAAAGGAGCTATTGTGTGTCATCAGTATGATAAACTAGACGGCGCGTACTTTGCCGAATTTGTACAGGATAATTTTGAGAACATGTTTAGAAAAGCGAACAAAAATGGGTCACGATTGTTTGTACAGGACAACTGTCCTGTTCAAAATAGCGCGTCAGCACGCCACGCGCTACGTGTTAAAAAAGCAAAGCAGTTGAAACTTCCCGCAAGGAGTGGTGATATTCATTGTATCGAAAACTTTTTTCATACAGTTAAAGTAGAGCTGGATAAGCAAGCTCTTGAGTTAAATATTACACGCGAAACTTACGAAGAATTCAGTGAGCGTGTAATTAGAACAATTACGAACATGCCAGTTGATGTAGTCGACAAAATCATAGAATCGATGGATAATCGGATTTCTCTAGTTATAAATTCTAAGGGACAGAGAACAAAATACTAGGCATACACTTGCCCAATTAGTAGAAACAGTGAATTTGGAGATGAAACCATGGCTTTTTATTCACGTGCCTATATTCTAGTAAGGATACTACGTCACGCGAGTGACAAACTAACCGTAAAAAAGGACTGTATAGTATCTGGTTACCATGACGATGTGAACTTTTCCGCTACAAAAATGCCCGCCGTCAATATTAAAACTCGCCTAGCAAATCAGCAGAAGACTACGAAAATGATTAAATGCAAAAATTAAACGATTAACAAACTGGAACATAGTTATTTGAACGATTAACAACGGTTAACAACGGTTAACAGCATTTCATAAAGAAAAACAAGATAGAGTCTATTGTTTTATTCCGTACAGTTGTTAACCGTTGTAAACCGATGTTAACCGTGGTGTTTTCTCTCTGTTGGGTTCTCTTTATTAAGTTAACCGTGTACGACCAAGCCACTATGTTAATGAGGGCAAAATAAGCTCTGCAAAACACCTAGCACATGACGGGAGGTCTCGTTGTTGTTCCCGCGGGATCTGATACGTGAAATGAAATATTTTCCACCTAACTTCCATCATACCGCATTCACGTTCATCCACAATTCCATTTTTGATGTACATGAGCCTATGCTTTCCCGTACAAAATATCGGGGTGTCACTAGTTAATGAAATATCCTTTGCGAAGTGAGTTTTCGGCGCCGGTAAATGCACAACATGACCTTCTAGCATAAGTAACAGATCATGCCACGGTATAACTTGTGGCGACCACCGAAAATCGTTCAAGAAAATACATTCAGCGTTTTGAACCCCAACCCAGGCAAAGCTCCCGGAAGCAGGATTACAAAAAGTGTTAAAAATCAAGGTCAACGGGTTAAGTAAGAAAGTTTTACCGCAGTTCGCATTGCCAGTGATCATAATGTTCCGGTATTTACCCCTTCCCTTTATCAGCAAATCACACACTGCGTCGCGAAATACTTGTAGTGGGACCTGATTATTGGCTAGGATTTCTTCGGCACAAATCTTCCACAGCCCATCACAACCCTCTGTGCATTCTTTTTCTTTCGCTTCTTGCAATAACTCTAGGCGAGTTTTCTTAGATCGTGCCAGTTTGTCAGCAGCATTCTCAATTTCCCACGCGGTATTCAATATATCTGCGACCGCCCTTGGCGTGCGATTTACTAGGAATTCAACAAGATCCGTTTTGCCCTCTTTTTTCTGTTGGTGAGCCAAAGCTTGCAGTTCTACCAGCGATTTCACGTTTTTCTCAACTATAATTTCTGTCACTTCGAATGTTCTAAGACGCTTTCTCTTTCTGGTGCTAGCACTCCTTCTAGACGTACGCATATCAGTATCTTTGTCGTCGTCACTCTCCTGATCATCCTCATCGCTATGATTTTCGTTTGCAACTTTCCTTTTGTGTTTGTTATTCCGCTTAGCACGACTTGCGGCACTTGTTTTCGGTTCACTGGCATTCTTAAGGTCCGGGTGGCCAGCACTCTCAATAAAATTCTCATCCTCTTTCGTTACGTATGTCCAGGCACTGTAGTAGTTATGGTGCTTACTTGAGTAGTTCGCGTTTATCCCGTACTCATTGCGTAAAAACTCCTTCGACGACAGCCAGCGTTGATTGCGATCAAGCTTCACACATAGATGGTAGTGTTTTCCGCATTTTTTTGTGGTTTTCACAGCTACAACACCACTGTACAATTTTCGCATTGCATTTCGCAAATGATTTTACTACCGCGGAGGCAAATTCTTCTCGCGTGGGAAATAGGTCCAAATTAGCCTGACTGTACGTTATCAAATAAACGCTTCTTACTTCTTTCCCACCTAGCGCTTCCTGAAATGATTCACAGTCCTCTGAAGATGTATCCTCGCTATCATAAGATCGTAAGAGTTCCATTTAGGTCGGCGATTACGAGAGAATGTCGTTACTCTCGCAAGTAAAGCGTTTAAGGACGAGCAACTTGTTTTAAGATGTGTCCATGGTAACGTTACTGAGAAAAACGCATTACACACCCCTTGTAATGTAACAGACATAACTTCATTTTTCAGCGAAAATTTTTTTTTAATCATTCCACGATAGTGAAAAGTGTTCAAAAACAATAAGTTTCATGCATTTCACCTAAAAAAATAACAATGACTCGTAGTAATTGACATCACAGTTAAAAAATGCAGAAAAACACCTCTAGACAACCTCGGACAAAACCTGTTGAGACACATTACAAAAATACCTATTTTTTTCACTCACCCTGACAAAAATGCTTACCGTCGCAAATTAAAAGACCGTTTCCCCCCTCCCCTTTTGCAATGTTGTTTGCGATAACAAAAGAAATGCACACTTGAGCTGTTAGGCCAAAACAACATTGCAACAGGGGTGGGGAGGGGGGCGAATTTGTTCCTTTTGGACACGAAGATTGCATGGCGCGAAATTGAAAATTGCATTGAAATGTCTCAACAGTTTTGTCCGGGGTTGTCTGAGATGGCTCATAGTTCAAATTGCTGTAGCTTCGCAATGGAAGTTCAGAAGATAGTGATTTTTGGCCCAGTTATTGCCCTTTTAATGAGCTTTCTGCCAAAGTATCGGAAACGTCAATTAAGCAATTAGAACACGTCATTGTGACGTCAAAAAGACGCCGCTATATTCAACAGCCTACTAGGTGCACGGGAAAGAAATCATGGTGTTTAATGGTGAAATCAATCCGTTCAAACGGGCTTATATCATGTATTTAACACAAGAAAAGCAATTATCGATAAAGGATATAGCGAGACAATGCCATGTTTCACGAGCCACGGCCTACAGGATAAAAAAGGACAGGATAATTGACAGCTATAAAAGAGAGGACTGGAACAGAAATTTGGGAGGAAGGCCCCGAAAACTGAGCTCGCGAGAGGAACGCAAAATTCTACGAACTTTGTACAGTTTGAGACACGAAGAAGGTAACTTTACATCCATTAGGCTAATGTCGAGAGCTGGGATAAGCCCAAAATATGTGAGTAACAGAACCATCAGGCGATTCCTTCAAAGGAAAGGTTACCATTTCCTCCAAGCAAGGAAAAAGGGCCTTCTGTCAGAAAAGGACTTAAAAGAACGCTTAAAATTCGCCAAACATATGCGAAAAGACTACTCAAAGGATGTTTGGAAAGACGATGTAGCTTTTTATTTAGATTGTGTTAATTTTTGGTATAAAAGGAACCCAGCAGATCAAGCCAGAGCGCCTCACGGCCGTATTTGGCGCAAGAAGTGCGAGGGACTTATGCGCGGCTGCACTGCAAAGGGAGCCAAAGTGGGAAGCGGTGGAAAAGTTGTGAAAGTGGTTGTGGCTATTAGTTACGGCAAAGGAGCTATTGTGTGTCATCAGTATGATAAACTAGACGGCGCGTACTTTGCCGAATTTGTACAGGATAATTTTGAGAACATGTTTAGAAAAGCGAACAAAAATGGGTCACGATTGTTTGTACAGGACAACTGTCCTGTTCAAAATAGCGCGTCAGCACGCCACGCGCTACGTGTTAAAAAAGCAAAGCAGTTGAAACTTCCCGCAAGGAGTGGTGATATTCATTGTATCGAAAACTTTTTTCATACAGTTAAAGTAGAGCTGGATAAGCAAGCTCTTGAGTTAAATATTACACGCGAAACTTACGAAGAATTCAGTGAGCGTGTAATTAGAACAATTACGAACATGCCAGTTGATGTAGTCGACAAAATCATAGAATCGATGGATAATCGGATTTCTCTAGTTATAAATTCTAAGGGACAGAGAACAAAATACTAGGCATACACTTGCCCAATTAGTAGAAACAGTGAATTTGGAGATGAAACCATGGCTTTTTATTCACGTGCCTATATTCTAGTAAGGATACTACGTCACGCGAGTGACAAACTAACCGTAAAAAAGGACTGTATAGTATCTGGTTACCATGACGATGTGAACTTTTCCGCTACAAAAATGCCCGCCGTCAATATTAAAACTCGCCTAGCAAATCAGCAGAAGACTACGAAAATGATTAAATGCAAAAATTAAACGATTAACAAACTGGAACATAGTTATTTGAACGATTAACAACGGTTAACAACGGTTAACAGCATTTCATAAAGAAAAACAAGATAGAGTCTATTGTTTTATTCCGTACAGTTGTTAACCGTTGTAAACCGATGTTAACCGTGGTGTTTTCTCTCTGTTGGGTTCTCTTTATTAAGTTAACCGTGTACGACCAAGCCACTATGTTAATGAGGGCAAAATAAGCTCTGCAAAACACCTAGCACATGACGGGAGGTCTCGTTGTTGTTCCCGCGGGATCTGATACGTGAAATGAAATATTTTCCACCTAACTTCCATCATACCGCATTCACGTTCATCCACAATTCCATTTTTGATGTACATGAGCCTATGCTTTCCCGTACAAAATATCGGGGTGTCACTAGTTAATGAAATATCCTTTGCGAAGTGAGTTTTCGGCGCCGGTAAATGCACAACATGACCTTCTAGCATAAGTAACAGATCATGCCACGGTATAACTTGTGGCGACCACCGAAAATCGTTCAAGAAAATACATTCAGCGTTTTGAACCCCAACCCAGGCAAAGCTCCCGGAAGCAGGATTACAAAAAGTGTTAAAAATCAAGGTCAACGGGTTAAGTAAGAAAGTTTTACCGCAGTTCGCATTGCCAGTGATCATAATGTTCCGGTATTTACCCCTTCCCTTTATCAGCAAATCACACACTGCGTCGCGAAATACTTGTAGTGGGACCTGATTATTGGCTAGGATTTCTTCGGCACAAATCTTCCACAGCCCATCACAACCCTCTGTGCATTCTTTTTCTTTCGCTTCTTGCAATAACTCTAGGCGAGTTTTCTTAGATCGTGCCAGTTTGTCAGCAGCATTCTCAATTTCCCACGCGGTATTCAATATATCTGCGACCGCCCTTGGCGTGCGATTTACTAGGAATTCAACAAGATCCGTTTTGCCCTCTTTTTTCTGTTGGTGAGCCAAAGCTTGCAGTTCTACCAGCGATTTCACGTTTTTCTCAACTATAATTTCTGTCACTTCGAATGTTCTAAGACGCTTTCTCTTTCTGGTGCTAGCACTCCTTCTAGACGTACGCATATCAGTATCTTTGTCGTCGTCACTCTCCTGATCATCCTCATCGCTATGATTTTCGTTTGCAACTTTCCTTTTGTGTTTGTTATTCCGCTTAGCACGACTTGCGGCACTTGTTTTCGGTTCACTGGCATTCTTAAGGTCCGGGTGGCCAGCACTCTCAATAAAATTCTCATCCTCTTTCGTTACGTATGTCCAGGCACTGTAGTAGTTATGGTGCTTACTTGAGTAGTTCGCGTTTATCCCGTACTCATTGCGTAAAAACTCCTTCGACGACAGCCAGCGTTGATTGCGATCAAGCTTCACACATAGATGGTAGTGTTTTCCGCATTTTTTTGTGGTTTTCACAGCTACAACACCACTGTACAATTTTCGCATTGCATTTCGCAAATGATTTTACTACCGCGGAGGCAAATTCTTCTCGCGTGGGAAATAGGTCCAAATTAGCCTGACTGTACGTTATCAAATAAACGCTTCTTACTTCTTTCCCACCTAGCGCTTCCTGAAATGATTCACAGTCCTCTGAAGATGTATCCTCGCTATCATAAGATCGTAAGAGTTCCATTTAGGTCGGCGATTACGAGAGAATGTCGTTACTCTCGCAAGTAAAGCGTTTAAGGACGAGCAACTTGTTTTAAGATGTGTCCATGGTAACGTTACTGAGAAAAACGCATTACACACCCCTTGTAATGTAACAGACATAACTTCATTTTTCAGCGAAAATTTTTTTTTAATCATTCCACGATAGTGAAAAGTGTTCAAAAACAATAAGTTTCATGCATTTCACCTAAAAAAATAACAATGACTCGTAGTAATTGACATCACAGTTAAAAAATGCAGAAAAACACCTCTAGACAACCTCGGACAAAACCTGTTGAGACACATTACAAAAATACCTATTTTTTTCACTCACCCTGACAAAAATGCTTACCGTCGCAAATTAAAAGACCGTTTCCCCCCTCCCCTTTTGCAATGTTGTTTGCGATAACAAAAGAAATGCACACTTGAGCTGTTAGGCCAAAACAACATTGCAACAGGGGTGGGGAGGGGGGCGAATTTGTTCCTTTTGGACACGAAGATTGCATGGCGCGAAATTGAAAATTGCATTGAAATGTCTCAACAGTTTTGTCCGGGGTTGTAGTAGAAGCCCCTTTTCAAATACAAATGAAGGCCCGGCTCTTGTCTTAAATTAAACGACTTTCCACGTAATGTTTGTAATAGACGCCCCTCACTATTAAACGCCTCCTGTCTAAAAAATGCCCTCTCATGACCACTACTCCACAATTCTCGGGAATAGCGAAATATAGCAAAATCATTCAATTCACTGGTATTTGGTTTATTGCTTGATTGACAATGGTTTGTTACATCTTCTTCAACGCCAAGTTCAAAGTAAGGAAAGTGCTCTTTGATATTCTTGATGTGCTCAATACATCAGCATTTTTCGTCGGGCCGTTTCGACCTTGATAGCAAAGTAATTAGTTCTTGAAGCATATTAGTTGTGTTGAGGTTTTTACAGTTATCAGAATAAACGCCACCCATTTACACATGCTCCCTACCTCCACCACCCCCCACCACCCCCCACCTCTTGACCCTTAAAATTAAATAAAAGAACCTGGCGTCTATTAGATCATTATTGGTACTGTCGTAGAAACACATTGCTGATTGAGCCAGGTCCATGGAAAGTAAGTTGTGTTTGAAGCCCAGACGCAGTCGTTTATCTATCTGCGCAAAACTACAGCTACTTACCTAGCGTCCCGTATTAAACTTAGTTTATCATTAGTTACGGCTTGCTTTTCATAATCATTTTATTGAATAACTGTGTTACATAATCAGGGGAGATTCTTGCAATTTTCAGAATGATAAGTAAATATTAATCTTTGGTTTGGCCTGACGAGAAAATAAGCTAATAGGCAATATCTCTTACTAGGATTATAAGTTGGTGATGGAATACTCGCAAGAGCAATTAAACTACTTCAGACTCTGCTACATAGCATTTGATTTGGTTCCAGTGCGACTGCGGCACATTTTCAAAAACGAATGGGATTTCCTTTATAAAGCAACGTTAACTGGAGAATGGAAAGACACGGCACAAAATGGACATGATTTTTACAACAAAGAATCTAAAGCAAGTCGCAAGAAAAACGCCCGAACTCTGGCAATAATCTACAATGGTGACATGGCAGAGTGGGACTGTACCTGTTTGTTTTTTGCCATTCTGTACTCGGACAGCATTGGTAACACCTTAAGCCCAGTTGTCCGTAAAGAGGTCGATGATATTCGTCAGGTGCGAAACGAGATCGCTCATATCACCGAGGCTAAGTTGACGGATACCGACTTCCAAGCTTCTGTAGACAGAGTGTTGAACGCTTTTACATCCCTGGGTCTGGCTATAACTGAGATTCAAGAAATAAAGAACCAGAAGACCTTTCCGACGAAGGAAGTGGAAAAAATAAGGAAGCAAGTTCGTGATCTCCAAGCCGAGTTAGATCAGACAAAAAGTACTCTTCAAAGTACCGAAGCTGCCCTGGTTTCTCTCACACAGGAAATAAATGTGGAACTTCAGCCATTTTGCATTCTCGCATCGTGCCCACCACACGATACTATCAGGCGCTCGCATGATATTGAAAGAATCACTAACGAAATGCAGGAACTTTACAAAAGTTCAAGCGGGGCAGTCAGTACAGTGTATTTGTCAGGAAATCCAGGATGTGGCAAGAGCCAACTTGCCCGGGAAATCGGACAACAGTTCTTTTCTAAACAAAACAATGATCTTATCTTTCTGGCGACACTGAACACAGAAAGCATTGACAAACTTGCTGACTCTTACCTCACCCTTGGGAGACACTTAGGGATAACAGAATACGCGTTGAAAGG